AATCGGCGAATGGAACGAAGGATCAGCAACACAACAAAAAGACAAGCTAAACTAACCCGATGTGTCCCAGCCCTGCTAACTAGAGGGAGAAGATCAGGTTTAGATGAGGGAAAGGTATATTCCACAAGCAGTCAGAAACATAAACGAACCAAGCACACAACTCAAGCGTATATATACAGTATTAAAATATCCTTTGGGAATGCCAAATGATAGCGTATGAAAAGAGGGAACAGACCAATGACATTTAAAGATCTATCAAGCGGGAAACACAATCTAAGGGTAAGTATGGGCGCTTTTGGCGCGAAAACGAGAAGTTCAAATTTCCAAAATAAAGTTACAAAAATAAGACGTTTACCAACTGATTTCTGGGGATCTAGCATTCATATCAGATCGAAATAATTTTTTCCACAAAATTACACAGATAGCATTGTATTCTACTTATTACCAGTGAGTCGATAATCAGTTTGTACGGATTTTTATTTTAAATGAAATTATTTTATCTTTTCCAAGCCAGTATTGTCGTTCCGATAAAGGCATACTTACAAACACTCCCACAATTGATAATTCATATAAATGGGCTGGTGGAGGTATTCTTTCTACAGCTAGTGATCTAATTCGCTTAGCTGATCATCTAGCATTTATTTATATGGGTTGGCTTGAATCATATGGAATTGTTAAACAGTCTACTTTGAATCAATTATTATGGAAAGTTTCTTGTGTACCACCAGATCGAAGTACATTACCTGGACTGGGTTGGTTTTTAGCCAGGTAAGTTTCATAACAATTTTTTATTTCGTCATTTCTCTTAAGTCTATGTATTGTTTAAATGATGTTTGTGTACAAATTATTTTATTCTAAGGCAATATTTCACAATAGAATTGAATAAACGTAAAGTAATCAAAATAATTTTCAATATAGTTAAATATTTAACCGGTAAATTATTCATCAACATTAAACTAAATGACACAATATGTATAATTCCTTTTGAGATCGCTATGTGAATGTAATTATTAGAATCTTTTAAGATTCTTTTTTCTAATATATACTTGCTTTTCAATTTGTTTATTTATTTGAACAAATAAATGTTGGTACAAAGTGGCACTGAATACATATGCGCTATACAAGTCACTTGATTTGTGTATGGGCTGTGATACTGTACGGGTGCTCAGACCGAAGCAGGTGGTTTTCCTGCGGTGCCTTCAACCTAAAGGTCTAGTCCACAAGGCAGTGAAGCAACGTTAGGAGATGCAGTCCCATCGTAGCCGGTCACCAACAACAGGTTCATACTCCATTTGTTTCTTTCAGGATCCTGGAGCCCATGTGCACTATTGGTTTGGAATCAGGGATTTCCAACTCCCCTAGGTGGACTCTCCGTGTCCAGCAACCTGGTTAATGTCACGGACATTCGCTTTTCTAACTTTCAATTTCTTAGACAACACCCCAACCACGAGAAGGCAGCTAGTAGGATTTCCCTGGCAGTGGCTGTATACGCGTGGCCATGTGAGAGCACTTCGAAAGGGAGAGCTAACTCTCCCCACTGTCAGTCGTACCAGGTATTCGGGGGCTTTTAAAAATATTTCGTGTTTATAAAGTATTAGTAAATATCCATCCATACATCATTCCGCTACTGATAAAAAGCACAATTCATCTGTTTGACTAGTGAACTTTCTTGTTTTACATAAACTGTTCAATATACCGTTAAATGCTTTTCTAAGTTTACATTTATGAATTGCTATCTGTCAAAATTTCAACTGGTTTAAAGGGAAAAAAATTGCTTTGTTAGGAAATAGAACTGATAAGCAAGCGATAAATATTATCATCTCAATAGATTATTATTATTTGGATGGAATAATGTTATAACCAGGATATGAGATTTCATTATCTGCTAGCATAAAAGTATTAAATTGTATCTAATTGATAGAAAAACAATCTATTCATATTTGTATGCCAAACACTTAGTCTACTAAGGAGATCGCCTTACATAAATATTAAAATTTCAATGAAATTAGAGTCGTCGAAACCGGTAGTATGTGTAGATTCCAACCATAAACATGTCTAAACACTATTCTATCCAACATAAAGTGAAAACACCATTAGAAAAATACATTCAACATAATATATTTTGCGATAAGTTTGTATTTACTATGTGCACTAGGTAATAGAATTAATTGACTACTTAAATTTTGAAAGGTTGTTTCAGAGTTCAAACAAATGATCTAATGGATAAATATTTATTCACTCATTCAAAGCACTACACACGGCTAAGACTTATAAATGTTTTATTCCTTGTTATTAATACGTTTTATGTGTGTGGACTTTTTTTCTTCTTCCAGACGTTCAGGTGATCCAGCAACTAAAGAAAATGGATACCCTGACCGATTATATGCACTGCATACAGGTGGTGCAGTGGGTGGTACAACTGTTCTTCTTCTTAGTCTCCCTTTGTTATGTAATAATGATAACATTCCTAATAAGACAAATGAAGGAAACACTTTTTCTACTACGGATAATAATCATAATTTCATTTCATCTGTACAAAATAACACTGTGATAATATCTCCAGTGAATAAAATATATCCAGTAGATGTTCGAATAAAAGCAGCCAATATTCCGCCAATTAATGTGGCTATTTTAACTAATTTAGAAAATGTTTCTGGTATATCAGAACTGGCTATACATTTATCGGAATTATTTTTGGATTATGCTATAAAATTAAAAGAATATGAAGATGATGAAGAAATAAAGAAATGTTGATTCAAGGAGTATTGATCAATTTGAATATTACTTTTTTGCTCTCTTTTTGTTTGTTACCTTGTAGTTTTGATTATATTATCTTTCCTATTGAAAGGTTTACTGGATCATAATAACAATATCTATGCGTGATTTGATAATAAGTAACATTTTCTTATGCAATTCGATAAATTGAAAGAAAAGACATTTATCAATATCTGACTAAACTATTTATTTCTGTACAAAGAATGAATAAGACAGTTCACTTGATGTCAATATCCGAATTTTGTTTGGTCTTCGGGAATTCTTTTTTGTAATAGTGAATGTTTATTGTCATATTAACATTCGAAATTCCATTTAATTCACAGATTTTTCTTCATTTTTTAAAATAATTGCAAATATTTTGAAAACAATCGTTTCTGTATAATAAAAGGATACTCGTAAAATACAAGTATTTGATCACAGATGTTTTAGAGATATTGCTCGCATCTGCTGGGATCACCGGGTACGTAATTGTGAGGTTAGACGCAGGGTATTAGGGAATGATGGTAAATCAGTTGGTGATGTAAAATCTTCATCGACTGAGATGGTTGAGTCATGTATTACGCATCTCCAACCGCCGACTGCCATACTGCGCAATGCTGATTAGTGTTGTAGATGGATGGTAGAAAGTCATGGGGGCAAAACCAAAATGTGGCATCAGTTCATATAGTCACTAACTTCTGGTCTGAGCCATGTCGGTAGATGCAGACTACTTGGTTGGGGGCCGCATAGCTATCGTAACTAGTTGTTGGAGACTCTGGTTGATAAGGCTCAGAATCGATTGCAATGGAATAGGTGTATACACTTTTTGTCTTCATTTAAACTGTGAAATTAAAATTACTTTATACCTTTTTACGAACTGATTGTTTCTCTGGGTATCTTATCCTTATATACAATCTTTTATATATTACCACCATTGTATTAACTACTTCTATGAATTCGGTGATCATCTTGTTGTGCTAATGAGGTATGGCAACTTGGACCGATGCATATGCGTGCCTAGTCCTACGTTGTAGATGTCTGAGTGACTGAAATAATATCTAAATAACATATGTTTAAATGTAGTAACTGTATCAACAATGTTACTCATAAAACGTTTAGCAGATATACAAGCTATGAAGATGATAAATACTTACGTACATATTTTAAAGATCTAGTTTAATACTTCTTGGTTAATGTAAATTTAAAGTAGTAACAACCTTTAAGATTAATTTCTCACAGATCTCTTGATTAAATTAATGCATTTTAAGCCAAACAGAGTGCAGTGAATTATTGTTCACAATTTACATAAGAACTACTTTCTTGTTAACAAGATTCCAACGTTTGACAATCTCATCTTCATAATGATTACCATCTCAAAAATGATACATAAATAAATTGCTGTCAAGTAGTAGTAATTGGGCAGCTTTATTTTTATTCTGATAATTTCTCTATAGTGTCACATAAAAATTTGTTCGAGTAGAATTTTACATGTGGTTGCTTTTTTAAAGTGTCATTGATAGCATTATGTTATAGTTTCATTTTTGAACTCAAATTACTCTCCAATTAATATGTCCATTCATATTTTGTTATACCGTTCAGTTATTATGTTTACATTTTAACTAAATCTACGCCCAAATTTTCAAGTGTTTTGAAATCATTTGAAACAATCTGTTAGTGATCCATTCTACTGCGTTTCGAAGATACTTGAATTTATTGGAGAAAAACAAAGTTATGAATTTGGAATATTTGACGCTCCCGATATTATCTCTGAATGCTTATATAGATTAGTGACAGGCGTTTTCTAAATAGTTTTTCATGGTTACGGAAAATTATTTTAAGAAATATTGGATATTGTAGTTATTGCCCATCTCCACTTTTCCAATTCAGTAGTCGATCGTAAGATATTTGGCATGGCGTCAATTTACTTAAATTCTTGCCTCAAACAGTTAATTTGATTGTTTATCTCGTACTAAAATAATGACTTCTTATAATTGGCGTTCAACATGTACAATTTATTTTACCTACTGCAATCGTTCCAGTAAACTGAATTAGAATATATATTTATGTACTTCTTTGTAGTTGAATAAAACATCATACAGTTATATACGATACTAAATTAAAACTATGTGCTAATCTAGAGGAAATTATCCAAAGTAAAATGCAAAACAATTCGTAAAAATTATATTCATATATTCACAGGTACAAAGATATTTAACTGTAATAACCATTGCTATTTCGTAATTACATCAAGTAATAACGGATTCATTTTGACGGAAATGCTGTCAACAACAACAAGAAACAACAGTGAATGAAAATAGTTTTAGTTAATGAAATAATCATGTTAAATGAAAGAAACTCAAAGTATAACTTTCTTAATTAGTAATATTTTGAAATGATTACAATTTTATCTTATGTAACATGTGGTGTACAACATAAACCAAATATTTTGGGTATTTTATGTACAGTAGTTGCATTTCATTAGAAATGGTGATTGCGCAATGTATGTTACGAAACAAAAATGAACATCACTAAGCGACAGTCATTGTTACATTATGTATTTACTGAAATCTACCAATCATAGTTCTCTGTTTGAATGCATATATATATATAGCTAAATACTTAATTTTATTGACTAACATTGATATCACTTTCCGCTGCAAGTCCAATGGGAATTCAAGAGAATTGATCATTTGGAGCAGTGTTTCAATAGCATTAGCAGGTCGATTATAAACTCCATTTACTATAATTCAGGTAGTTGCATAATAACACTAGGGATTATAGTGCTATAAAAAAAGCAGTACAAATCCGAGGTCTTTTTTTTATCTACATTAGATTTTTTACCTCTCTAAGATTATTTCCTCCATTGAAGGATATAACCAGAAAATTTTTGAATACCAAATAAAATTCTAAAAATCTTTTAACTTACTTGAGAATTTTTAAATTCCAAATATAAAGAAAATAATAAGTGTAATGAATGTATTCGATTGTTGTAAACTGGAATGTCTAGAAGTGCTTTAAAAAGATGGAAGATTCGTAGGTAAAGAAAGAGATCATTATTAAGAAATAAATGAATATAATTCAACTATTAGATCATCAAATGAGACAGTAAAGAAACACTATCAATTATTTGTGCATTCTGTAAGCAGTTTTGATGTTATGAATAAATATAATAGATTTGTAATATCCCAATGAGTAGAAAAATGAGATTTTCTGACGTTTCGTGACATAGTGCTTAAATTCGACTCTATTCACTTTTAACGGGATGTTATACAAACAAACTAACGGTGTAGCAATGGGATCCCCTGTGTCCTCGATTGTAGCCAACCTTTTAATGGCACACATAGAATCAAAATATTTTCACCCACGACATTAAACCACGAATTTGGCTTGGATATGTAGACGATACATTTGCTGTGATAAAAAAGACTCATCTAAGATCTTTTTCAAAAGGGATAAATACTCTTTCATCTCACATCAAATTCACGAATGAGAATGGAAATGAACATGGTGAGCTACAATTTTTAGATTACTTAGTGAAAAGAAATCTAAATGGAATTCTAAATCTATCCATCTACCGAAAGCCTACACACTCTAATCGCTATATTGACTTCCATTCTGCACATCCTTTCAGTGCTAAGATCTCGCTAGCCTTAAATCTTGTTAGAAGAGCTAACAAGATCATCACATCAGAAGAGGATAAAAACAAAGAACAAGAGAATGTAATTAGTATCTTACAATTTAATAATTTTCCTATGAAGATTATCAGAAGTATATTAAAACAAGACAGTTCAGTACGTAACAATAATAATAATTCGAATGAAATGCCATGGATTGGTACTGCAGTTTTACCATACCGTCATGGCACAACATAACTCTAATGTATTTTAAAACAACACAGAATTAAAGTATATTACAAAACAACGAACACACTTCGAAATACTTTAGTTCGCTTAAAAGAAAAAAACCCTTTCTTGTCTACACAGAACTGCGTCTACAAATTAGGTTGCATCGATTGTGATGCCTTCTATATTGGAGAGTCATCTCGCGAAACCTTGACTCGTGCCAAAGAACATATTAGGTATACAAAGAAACCTCCTAGTAATCCCGTAGAACTGGATAGACTTCAAATTAAATCAGCAATAGCAGTTCAAGCCATTTTCAACGACCACCAAATCGATTTCAAAAATATCAAAATATTACAAAAAGGCTTTTCCAATTACAAAGAAAGGAGAGTAGCTGAAGCGTTCTATATAATACTTAATCCTACATCTCTCAATAGAAAAGAAGGCCTTAACATACATCCTATTTGGACAATCTATCCTAGCCACAGTCTGATTTTATTTACAATCTACACTATCATCTTACAAATTAAACTCTATCCTTTCTCACCATAAAGGTAACACAATTTTTCATCCTTAAACAGTACACACATACATACACACACAAATTTACATACATGTCACTTATGAACCACTTTGACCGAAATGACATGACATCAACTTGTTCAGACCTGTCTTTTGATCACATATTCTTATTGTTTCGTTGTACTATTTAAACTTGGATTACTTTTAATTTTGTTATTTATTCTCTGAAGAATTGGCTTACACTAAGTTACGAAACGTTAGAAAACCTAATTTTTCTAATCATTAGGATCTTACAAATACATTAATTTATTTATAACAATCTACCCAATGCTCAAAGTATTCGCAATTATCAAGTCAAACCTTGGTAATGATACCTACAGTTTTGATGTTATCTAAATTTGTAAATGAGTCCAGTTGGAATGGACTTTTAAATATCTGTCCCAACCAAACCTCTACGAATATCAACTGTAGAAGTTGCTAGTTGATACAGATAGCTAAAATTTTATGGATAAAAGCTGTGAAAAATTATACAGGTAAAAATAAACTTACAAAGGTCATGCAAATTCACGGTTATTAACTAAACTTGTAACTTTGTTTGATAATTAATTCGTTCATTTTAATATTTATACAGTCTATGTGAAAATAGGAAGTTTAAGAGAAAGTAGAACACATAAATCTTTATTAGTCTATAACACTTTATGATCACTTCCCGAGAATCCTTCCATAATGGGTAATGAATATTGATTCTTGTGCCTGTAATTATCGCAAGTATTTTTTTCACATTATCTAGTGGTTTTCCGAATCTTCAGAAGAAAAGGTCTGTTATATCCAGTAATAAGTGCAATATGCATATTTTTATTGGAATTATTTCTTTAGATGTTTTCCTGAAAAAATTAGGTTTTTTTATAATCTTTCAAGAGATCATGTTCATAAATGGATTGAATTTTAGTTTACATCATGGACTGGATTCAGTAGAAACCTAGGAAAGACTGCAAAGCTGTATAAGTTGTGCAGATGGGGACATTATGACTGTATCGCGTTTGATTGGTTGAGATTGGAACGCAGCTACTATCGAAGTGTACTTGTAAGTGGTATTGATAAGTTAACTAGTTCGGACTGACATCTTATAATCTGTGTGTGTGTGAACTTACAGTGACAGCAGTGTGTTGTACCTATTTTACGCATACCGTGGTAGCGCCTATCTTGATATGTAACACTATCCGCATTAGGTGAAGACAAGAATAAATTTCAGAAGGATCAGAGCTAAATATAGTACTCATTTCTGAAATCATGAAATCTTTTTATAAGCTTTGTAAGACAATGTGTTCAACTTAACTGTAACTCTTAATCTATTAAAGACTGAACAGCTCAAATGAAATAAATCTTTCCTTAAACTCTTCAACATATTGTTTCCCTATACATATTCCTTTGTCTAATACTTAGAATCTTTATATATTTAGAGAATGGTTTTTGTGGATATTATAGTAATTTCAATGGTTGAGATTGTAGTGACTCACATTTATCACGAGAACACGACTTGTTTAATAAAAACAATTATTATTATAACCAACTGTACCAGTGCTTGTTTTAATGTGCTTTTGTTTGACTGTGCTAATGACAGCTATATTGTGCTTCCATTCTGATTCTTACACTTTGATTGTGACCGCGCGAATTCGGTTACGTTCTGTAACCAAGCTTGTATCCTGGCACGATCTCGGTATCCTTTCGATAACACTAGATCGCCAGCAAATATATCTCGACTTGGTCCATTAACTGCCTTCTGATATTTGGCTTCTCGGGGATTTTATGGATTTATTTGGTTACGTTCAACCCTCGCCTTCTGATTTATTTGGCACGTGTTTATTGATATCGGTGTTCATAGTTAATCCCAACTCGACTCCACTCTACAAGATCATGAGTGAATCAAAGCTAGACCAGGTATTTTCATGGTGGTCTAGCTTCAATTCACTCATAATTGCATAATTTCAACCGATACAATTATATTATACATTCTAGAATACTCTGTTCGTTTATTTATAAGTGACAATGAATTTTAGATGTAGTTTTATGGTTGTATGAAAATCATTAATTAACAACAGATTAGAGGAATTTCACATGAAATGTATAAAATAAGATCATGATTCATAATTTTGTTACACATACCACAGATTATATCTACATAATCTTTTAAACTACAATCCAACTCAGATAGTGATAACTGCATATTATTTATGGTTTCTTCAAAAGATGTTGGCCATACAGCCATAAGTTCAGATATTTCTGGCATGTTTCTGTAAAATTGGGAATAAAACAATTTCTTTTAAAAACAATGTTGGATTTAATTTAAACAAACCAATGAATATTATGTTGTGAGTACATCCATTATATATATCTAAGAATAATATCAATATAAAGTTGCCAATCAGTCAATGAGAGATTAGCTTCTGACAGACCTAAAAATAATATGATTTCAATGTTATCTCATTATCGTAAGAACTTATTGCTGAAACTTAACATAACTGTGGAAAGGTAAAGAGTTGATTATTCAACGTGATCTTAATTAAACCTATTACTAGTTTACCTCTTATCAACTAGAATTAGTTAGTAAATGAGACATGTTACCAACAGTAATCTTGTGCTCATTAGTGATTGATTTCGGAAGGTAATTTCAGGAAACCTACTGATAAGTCGCAATCACTAAAGTTAAACTACGTTAGATATTATTCAGTTACCTGACAATGGGATTGAGTGATAGTTGCGTAATACAGTGAATCAACTGGTTTTAAATACAAATCACTGAATGCTAACTCACCAGTCTTAAAGTCAAGCCCTTGGTACAAGACTGGCAGTTCCTAGCGTCAACTCTTGATAGGGTTGTGGATATGCACCGCTGAAGATTCTCATACAAGAAAGAAACATCTGTCCAATATTTCCTGATTTTCAATGGTTACCTACTTTTATTCACTCAATGATGTGAACTATGTATAAATTTCATTAACATAAAACGGGAAATTGAATTTGATATACTTTTCCATCTACCAACTAAAATATGGCAACACTGATTCATTAAATAATCAGATAGCTACCTATATACCGTTCCAGGTCTTCATTGGTTTTTCTTCAAGTAGTAATCAATCTCATATTGGTTTAGTCCATATTGTGGTGTGCTACTTATATTGACGTAAGTAGCATATGATGTTAGTCGTGAACAGAAGGTCTGGCAGCAGAGAGACAGGAGGACCGAACAGTAAAGAATGGAAACAGGATGCAGTTTGTATGAAAATACAAGAACAATGAAGTCTGGGCCATTTTGGGACAATTGGTGGTCATTTTGCAAATTGAGCATTTACTATATGATTGTTAGATTTTATTAACATGTTCTGTAATTTTGTGTTAAATACATTGGGTTGTTCCCACCCGTGTTTTGTGCACTACGATATCACTCTAAGTGTACTCTATCGACAAAGCTACAGTGTAGTAACTATTTATTGGAGATTGTTCAGTTTAAATTGAGATCATGAACTAATCAATATTATACCATCATTGGGAATTCGTAAGCAATGGATAGCCTATTCTTCCTAGTATGGGACTCCTCAGCAGTGCACATTTACACTAGTCAGCAAGTTATTGGCTTAAAGTTTTACATTATTTTGCTGTAAGTGAACTATTATGTATATGTAATCTACTCACCTTGTATAGTGTACAGTTGGTGCAGGTTTGGCTCTATACAACTCTGTTATACTTTTAATCCAATTTTCTATGACTTTTGTTTGTTGTTCAGCGTTTTCAATACTTTTAACTATCTAAAATTTGTATTTTTTTTTGAAAAAAATAAGAAAAATCAACTAAAACTACAACTCATGGTTTCTTGTTATCTAAAAGTAAACTGAAAAAAACTATTGCTTATTACTCTGCCAATTTTAAATGTTACTGAGATTTCGTTATAAATTAAAACGTTGATTTAAGCACTACCCCATAAAAACATTCATTAACCCTATAAGATAATTGAAGACTCAGAAAAAGGATAAGGATATCTACCAATCCACAATTGTTTGCTCTTTTCATACTGCATATCATTTGTTTCTATAGTCATTAAAAATGCAATTGTCTTATTGCTTTTTCTTAATATTTCACTAAGCTGATTTACTGCTCTGTGTTTTTATGGATGTTATGAATATATTCATATTTAGTAATACTATAATATAATAATATTACTTAGTATACAATGCATTTGATTCTTCTTCGGCCACATCTAGGAAGTATATAGTCTTGATTCTATAATAAAGTGTTTTAACCAGGTTCCTTTTATATTGTAGTGGAATACAACTAAGGATCACCGGGTAAGTAATAGTGAGGTTAGACGCAGGGTATTAGGTAATGATGGTTATTCGGTTGATTAGGTTGTTAATCTTCATCGACTGAGATGGTTGGGCCACGTGTTACGTATGCCTGAACACCGATTACCACGGCGTGCAATGCTAACGGGTGTTAGAGTTGGTTGGAAGAGAATTAGGGGCGGCCAAACCAAAACGTGGCATCAGTGCTTGAAGTCACTAAATTTCAGTCTGAGCCATGTTGGTAGGTGCAGACTACTTGGTTGGGGTCCGCGTGACTTTCGTAACCGATGGTTGGAGACTCTTGGTGGCATGGCTCCGAATCGATCACAATGGCATCGGTGTATACACTCCCTGTCTTCCCTTAAACTATGAGATTAAAATCACCTCATATCTTTCTTTTTACTAACTAATTCTTTCTTCCTGTACTGTATCCTTATATGGAATCTTTCTTTTATATATTACCACCTTTGACCTAACCACTCCTATGAATCCGGTGTTCATCTTGCTGTGCTAATGAGGTATCGCAACCTGGACCGATGCATATATGTTCCTGGTCCTACGTTGTAGCTGACTAACTGACTGATATTGGCTAACCCAAGTGGTTTTCTCGTTTAAGTTCCGTCCTAGTGACCGATCTATTCTTTTCGTAAGTAATACATTTAGAAAAGTTATTCTACCTCTGTTTTCTTCCTCACATGTGAATTTACTAGACGGATGAATTTCATCAAATCTCTGGAGTATCTTCATCCGGTTAGTATGGTGGTTAAAAAGGATGAAATTATCGTCTATATATCAACAGTTAAAAGAAGACTTGTCAGTATCCTGTGTTAATGGACCGTCTTCTAGTTTGGTGATAAAAGTGTCAGCTAACATGGGACTTAGTGGTGAGCCTATCGCAACACCATCGATTAGTCTAAATATTTCGCCATCGAATATGAAGTTAATGTTCGTAGTACATTTTAATAAGTTTGAGATGGTGGAGAAGATTTGTAGCTCAGGTGGATGATTTTGGTGGGGTTTTGTTCTCTGAGCTGGATGGTTTGGTCGTGGAGCTTTCGTCGTTCTTCTGAACGACATCATCAGCACCAAACCATCCAGCTCAGAGAACAAAACTCCACCAAAAACATTTTAATAATAATTTCTTGACGATATTCATATGGATTGTAGTCTCTACTCCCTCTTCTGTAAGTTGTTCACAGATAGATTCAACATTCTACCTGAGTGGAGTATCGGCGAACAATGATGTTAGATTCATGGTCATAAAACATCTTAGTAATTTCAGTGAATTAGTCTTGAAAACCGACATATTTATTCATGATGACAATCATAAACTTCATAACCGATAATGTGAAATGAATTATTAGAAGTTGGAAAAACATAAGTTATAAAGTTCTCAATTCTTAGCCGAAGACCTCATGTTCTCTGGAGATTCAAAGGTATTGGGTTCGAACCAATATAATATTATACTAGGATGAGACAGCCGTCCGGTTTTTTCAGATTTTCAATAGTTGTCTAACTTAAATCAATCTATGATCTTAGTACAACTCAAAAATTCCCACTACCCCCGTATTTATATTCTAATTTATTTTAAAAACTATTTTCAAACCATTGCAACCTCCAAAAAGCCCATAAGTAAATGATAAATTAAATATTAAACAATAGCTCTATGGGTAATTGGTTTAAAATCCGAATATCAAGAAAATAATTTGTTATACCTAATGACCTTGTTTACTACTAATATGTGACGTAATGATACCACCGATTACAGAACAGTGACTTATCTACCGGACCAATGTCGTATAAACCCGTACGAGCAATCTAGAGTCTTTATCGGTACTTTTCACCTAACCCTGCTTGTTGAGTTCAGAACAGCAATCTCAGTCTCCGTGATATGAATCATTTATTTCAAATATATTGGGTTTATATACAAACCAAACAGAATACATCGCATCATAAAATAGAAACCAACATTTGTGCAAGATCTAGCCAAAAGTGGCTGTGATTGTGGGAGACTGTAATTAATAAACTGGGCATAACTTGAGTAAAATGAATCGTATAATAATAGTCTATGGGTCAAAATAAAGCTCATAATAAGAGGAACATTAATACGCATAGGTTAGCTGCTTAACAATTATACAACAAAAATATATGTTTTGTATTAGTCCATAAATAGATCACAACAGTTACCATTTATTATTCTCGTTGGGATATATCATAATTCAATGAAATTATTTGACTAAAAAAATACACACAGAACTTACTACTTGTTTTGTTGCAGTTTGCTTTGACAAAGCTCTCAATTGTAAATTAAGTACTGTTGGATCTGACTGATTAGCACATGGTTCATCCAAGACCAATAAACCTAAATAATCTGGTTTACCATCTGGTCTGGGCACCTATTTCGGTAGAATTAAAATGTATATTTGAAAACATCAGTTAAGATATTAAAAAATAATTTACAGTTGATAGAAATTTATCAAAACCATTTGAATTATCCGCTAATAGATTTTTAAATGATCTAAATAGACGAAGTCAAAATGTACGCTGTTTCTGCAATGTATTCATACATTTTTAAACAAACTATTTAAAAACATAGAATTATGAATCTGATTATGCATGCAATAAAAACAAATGAAGCTGAAAGATTTGTCATATGGAGTTTACTTTTCATTGCATAAATAGAGCTTCAAAGATATTATGAACATTGTACAATAACACAATGTCACATTTATACGCTTAATGGTAGTCCATGTCGTAAAAACCAATAAAGAAGTTTAACACCTTAGATGGCTAAAAATTATTCGGTAGGGAGAACAAAATTTTATTCTGGTTGATATTCATTATCAAGTCAATTCTGTATTATGTAAGAATTTGATTGTTCAACAGTAACTGCTTGAATCTACTCTATAAAAGAAAAATAAATATAAAGCAATAATTTGTTTAACAATTATTATCTTCAGATATTTACTCATTCGGCAATCTTATGTCATCAATTCGACATTTGGCAGTAATCATCATTTGGTCATTGTATTCACTAGGGTACATGTTGATGAAAATAACCAACTCTTGCTGTATTTTCACACACAATCTCCTTAAGCATTATTATAACATAAGTAATCTGAATGAAAGATATTTCAGTTAGAATTATACAAGTAGTTTAAACTATCCACTTATCTGCTATGAGAATTATAAATTATTTTAGCAACAAGATTTATCTGAAATATTGTTTGAGAACAACAACTAACTTTTAAAAATGCATCAATATCTCCAACAGCTGGTATATAATCAGGAATGAATGGTTTCAACTTTGTTTCTAATTCGATTGTTTGAGGTGTATATCTAAGTTTAAGAAAAAACAAAAAAAATAGAAGCTTACAGGTATCAGTGTTAAAGTTTTATTTATTTTATTTATTTAAACACATAAACATTGGTACAAGGAGGCACCAAATATACATGCACCATATAAATCATTTGATTTGTGTGATAGCTGTGATACTGCCCGGGTGCCAAACCGAAGCATGTGGTGTTCTTAGGAGGCTACGCCCGAAGCCTTTGACCTAAAGGTCTAGTCCACAAGGCAAGGGAGCAACGTCAGGAGATGCAGTCCCATCGAAGCCGGTCACCAACAACAGGTTCATACGCCATTTGTTTCTTTCAGGATCCTGGAGCCCACGCGCACCATTGGTTTGGAATCAGGGTTTTCCAACTCCCCTAGGTGGATTCTCCGTGTCCACCAACCCGGTTAAAGCGCAGGATATTCACTTTTCTAACTTTCAATTTCGTAAACAACACCCCCGGCACACCGTGGATTCCACTGTATACCGTCACTGAGCATGTGACTAAATAACATTATCTAGGGAATAAGCTCAGAATGATTACATGTCAATGGAGACTGATCAGCTGTAGTCCGTAATGCTAAGGTTGAACTTGATAAATTCAGATAATTTAAATTGTTTTGTTTCATCCTATTGAGTAGAAAAATTTTATTTCTGACGTTTCGTGACTTAATATAAGTCAATTATTCAGAGTACATACAATTTTTCTCCTCATTGAGATATAACGAAAAAATTTCATTATTAAGAAGATTGAAAAAAAATAAAATATACATTTAGATTAATATAATTATTTTATAAAGGAATATTTGGTGAGACTATAATTTATGGACGACGTTTGAGCGACGCTTGATTGAACTTGAGAGTGTCCACTTATTAACCAGGACGAAATGAGGGTTCTGAACCTGTGTGAGGAATTAGAATTACAATTTACAGTTGATGATTAAACTTAGGAATTAGATTTAGCGTTTTTATCACGAACTGACATCAGCTATAATACCAAAACTCTATTTATCCAAAATGATGAGTGAATTTCGCGCCAAAATCGGAGACCTTATATCTTATGCGTGATTGGTTCGTCCATAAATTATAGTCTCGCCGAATATTTATTTATATATCTATGTGTACGAAGTTACCTTTGAATATATTCAAAAATTTCCTTAATTTCAGACGATACAGTCAAATGTTCATAATCGGCCGGATTGTAGACACTAAAAAGAACGATGAAAATATTTGGCCTGGAGAAAATTCTTGTCAACTTCAGTTATTACTACCATATACTCATAACTGTTTAGTAAGTAGTAATATATGGGTTTTTTCGCTCTTTTATGCAAATAACTACAAAAGTTCTAGAATGAAGTTGAATTTGTCGTTTGAAATTTTGATATTGCCCAATATTATGAAGTCACATTTTGGTTAAATATCATGTTTAAAAGAATGAAACAAATTTTATTATTTGAACTCAGTAGCTCAGTTGATGAGATGTTGGAGTTGAAAAATAAAGGTACTAGTATCAAGTCCCAATGAGAACATTAACATCAGGATCCATATGCACCAGCCGACAAGTCCCACGTAAGACGAAACGGACACCCTGGATTCCATTGTACACTGTTATTGAACATGTGATTAAATAACATTATCTAGGAAAAACGCTCAGAATGAATACATGACAAAGGAGACTGATCAGCTGCAGTCCGTAATATTAACAACGTGAAAATACAAATCCATACAATTAATTATTACTGATTTTCTAAATATTTTGGAAATTTTATTTTACATATGAAAATACGAAATCGCTCAGAAGATATTTCTTCGTACAACCATTACCTCGTTTTCATGACGACATTTCCAATTTAGTTATTATCATTATGTAACAGAAAATTAGCGTCCAGTGAGTAATCATGTGGTGTGTGCTACTGATGTCGACAGATATAAGTAGTATGTATCAGCAGTCGAAAGTGGAATGCCTGGAGGCAGAAGGCTAAGACGATCGAAGGAAAGAGAACAACAACAGAAAGTGATTGGTGTGGAAATGAAGGAACAATAAAGTCCGAGACGATTGATTGACATTTTGCAAATGCAAAATATTCTGTGTGGTTCTCATATTTTACTAAGATATTCTGTAACTGTGGCTTCAAATACATTCGATTGTCCCCACTTATGTTCTCGTTCACTACAGATTTCGTCTATAAAAATTTTTTGGCATAGTTTTACCATTGAAATTTGCCAAGTGTTTGTTAGCATTTCATTCTAATAAAGGATGATAATCTCAGATTGTTTTTAAAACAAAGAAGATTTTTTTCGGTTTTCATATTTCATCCGGCACAGGTTGGATGGTTGACTAATAAAGTGACTGGTTGGTTGACATATTCAGTTAGCGAATGAGTAGACGAGTGTGAGTACATAGAACTTTGTGTGATAGTGTATGGGTCCAACGTTCCCGACGTTTTATAAAAACAGAAAATAACAGTAAAATATATGAATACTAATAAACAAGTGTCACATTCAATGAGGTTGATGACAATGCAACTTATCAAATATAGATTCGTGCACTTGGCTTTCAATCACTCGTCGTGTGAAGGTTAGTGATACTGCTTAGGTGTTTAAACCGAAGTAGGTGGAGTATGATTTAAACTATCAACTTAATGGTTTTAAACCGAAGGTCTTAACCACTAAGTCATCTATCAGTTATAATCAGTTTTCAGTTATTCAAATTTAAATCTTCAACCATCTACTTTGTTTCCTATTTAAAGTGATATTTAGCGAAGGGAAACTAATAATCAGTTGTTTTTATAGTATAATATTGCACTTTGATTTAATTTCTTTTTTGCTTTTCAACAGTTTATTAATATTTCAGTAAACGAAGGAAACCTACAGACTATCGATACTTACATAGAATAAATAAATCCCTATATAGAATGTTCTCTGTTTTGTAAATTTGACATACCCTTCAATGACATCAGGGATATTAGAATTTTCATCATCGTCATCTTCATCATCTTCATCCTCATCATCGTCGTCATCATCATCATCCTCATCCTCATCATCGTCATCTCCGGAACTATCTAAAAACAATAAAAATAAAATTAAAACTACGATGAAAAGTGTTTATTTTAGTAATTGGATTACAATTTATTTTACAAATTTAAGTTTACCACAAAAATTTACCCATACTTGTTAATCAACGAATGACTTAGCTGTTCATCTTGTATTAACTTTACTAAGAATAATATGAAGTTGTTGTAAAGATTAAAAATGCATATTTTATTTCACATGTTACCTACACAAATGACTTAATTCAAATGAAAACCAAACTATGAAAAATTGAGCATTTAACCAACTAGCTATCATCTTTGTATGTTCTACAAGCAATTTATTATCAACAAAACTGGAAGATATAAATAATCTAATGATTATTTAACCAATTACTTACTTACTTACGCATGTTACTCCCAATAGAGCATAAGCCGCCGATCAGCATTCTCCAACCCACTCTGTCATGGGCCTTCCTTCCCAGTTCTATCCAATTCTTGTTCATTTTTCTCGTGTCTATCTCCATTTCCCAGCGTAATGTGTTCTTTGATCTTCCTCTTTTCTTTTGGCCTTGAGGATTTCATGTGAGGGCTTTCCTCAATGTGTGTCCTATTCATTTCCAGGGTTTCTTCCTGATTTCTTCCTCCACTGGGATCTGATTTGTTCTCTCCCATAGTATGCTGTTGCTGGCAGTGTCTGGCCAACGCATCCGAAGTATTTTGCGTAGACAACTGTCAATATACACTTGAATCTTCTGGATGATGGCTATAGTGGTTCTCCAAGTTTTTGCTCCATGCAGTAGAACTGTCTTGACATTCGTATTGAAAATTCCGACTTTTGTGTTGGTTGACAGTTGCTTTGAGTTTCAGGTGTTCTTCAGTTGTAAATATACTGCTCTTGCTTTACCGATCCGTGCCTTCACATCTGTATCAGATCCACGGTGTCCATCAATGATGCTGCCCAGATATGTAAAGGTTTTTACATCTTTCAAATCTTCTCCGTCAAGGGTGGTTCGATTGGTGCATGCTGTGTTGTATCGGAGAATCTACTCTTACGTTTGTGTATGTTGAGACCTACTACTGCTGCTGAGGCTGCTGCTACACTGGTCGTCTTCTCCTGCATTTTTTGTTACGTGTGCGACAGAAGAGCCAGATCATCTGCGAAGTCCAGATCGTCCAACTGCATCCTAGATGTCCCTTGTATCCCGTGTTTCCCTTCAGATGTTGACATCTTCATGATCCAGTCGATCACCGGGAGAAAGAGAATGGGTGAGAGTAAGCAATCTTGCCTGACACCGGTCTTTACTTCGAACGAGTCTGTAACATATCCTGCATGCACGATTTTGCAGTTTAATCCATCATAGGAATTCCGTATGATATTGACCATCTTCTCACGTACGCCGTAGTGTCGAAGAAGCCCCCATAGTGCAGTCCTGTTCACGCTGTAAAATGCTTTCTCATAGTCAATAAAGTTGATATAGAGTGATGAATTCCGTTCAATTGATTGTTCCACAATAATTCGTAGTGTTGCTATTCGGTCTGTACACGATCGACCCTTAAGGAATCCTCAACCAATTAATATTCATATCTAAATCTATTTTATTTATATATGAACAATCAGAGTACTTAATATGTGAAAATAATGACATAGATTTTATACTTTCATTTCTTCATGATGATAAAACAGTAATAAAACTTAGTGAATCAAATAAGATTCTTAAATTCCTTGGCTGAATTGTCAAAATAACAATGTTATATTTTAATTATTATTAGTTCATTATTCGTTAGTTAACATTACATTTGCTCCATCTTTATTCATTATTTCAATTAATAAAAAAAATCAGTGATATATGAAAAATAAACCAACCTTGACTACTTAATTTTTCATTGTTTGACTTCTTTTCAATGACTGATTTTGGTGCAGTCTAATAAGGTTAGAAAAAAAAGCGAGATAAAATGTTAGACTTTAGTACTAACAAGAATGATTTGAAATTAGTTCAGATCACAGAATAATATCAGACGTAGAACCTTCAAAAATGTAGTAGTAATTAGTAGGTGTTTTGTTCTAGTTCTGAACTTTTAGGCATTATGTGCTCATGATCCTCTACAAGGTAGAACTATGAGCCACTAAGTGTCGTTGTACACGTTACGCCAATAGACAGTTGAGTTGGAATTAGGCTCTAATGGTGCTATACAGAACAAAAATGGTTAAACTATTCAGCCTAGAGAAGTAAACGCAACTGGTATCATACACTTGAGTTACTGACCTTTTCGGTATCCTATAATTTTGTAACAAGAAGTAACTCTCACCTAAAGACATTTATGGAATATTATTTTATTCCTGATTTAATTCCTTACGACAGGTCATATTTTATTATTAGATCTTGATGAAAGTTTATCTCTAGGCTAATTACTACTCAATCCATGAAACGACTGTACGATATTCCGCTTTTTTACCAATTTTTCGGCTGAGTAGGTGAAAATTGACTATAGACTACAAGAAACCTCTACAGAACAATTATAGTCTATAAACAAATATGATTAAACAATGTTAAACATGTTTTTACTCGTAGAATAATAATGTAAAGCAATTAATGTCTACTTAAAAAAATACATCTTTTCATCAAATTAAAGTGAAAGAATAGATAAAAAAGGAAAGTGGCATGGCTTACTTTAATTGATTTATTTAGTAATTCATTCTTTATTTTTCTTACTGATTTACTGTTATCTCTATGAGAATCTAAATGATCAACTAGATAAAAAGAGCAACAAAAACAAAAAACAAATTAAGCGAATAGATTGTAGTGATTAAAGGTGTCAATTATGAAGTGATTAGAATGTTTAGAACTGAGGAGAGTTTATTATACTACGATATAGTGTAAAATAAAAATTATGTTTATCTTATACTCCATATGATGGATATATGGAAAATAAGACAATAGGAAGGAAAACGAAAAGCAGTCAAAATAACAACAGGATAGGGAGAATGACGAAGTGTATGAAGGACAACTGAAGGAAGATATGTGAATGATGTATTTAATTCATGATTTTCATATTTTACAAAGTCACTGTGTGATTTTGTTTCATGGTGTCATTTCGTTAACTTTTCCGTAATTCCGTCCACAATTACTCAGGAAAATGTGAGAAAACATATAAGAGACTACTTATGATCTGAAGAAGTATTTAAAGATATATTAATTTCTTGAACGCTTGAATGTCTCAGCAAAACTGATCTTAAAGATACAGGAAAACGATTGTAAGCTACAATATATATCCAGATTCTATCATATTTTAGCTACGGATTCTTTTTATTTTTACGGCAATAACGGAGCATAAAGTTCCCTAGGTCACTTTCAACGTCTCTCATGGTTGTTAGCATGGTATAGTTTCAGTATTTCATTTCATAAGGTAAATAATATCAACATTTTTATTTAGGAGAATTTGTGAGAATTCATCATAACAGGAAGATGATTTTCACATAAAACCGTTGTTCAAGAACAGATGGCGACTATAGGGAGTTGGACGGCAGGCTCATCCTAAACTTAAACATCCCAAGAATATATGTCCGAAATATCAGTCAGTCAATCACAAGCAAAGTGGGACCTAGCACAAACGTCCATCAATTCACGCCGCTACACTGTATCACCACGAGTCGAAATCATCAAAATGAATGCCAAAGTAGTATAAATAGCAGTAGCGTTAGCGTGATACTAAAAACGATATTAGGTGTGGAAGATATGTTTAAGGAAACTCCAGAATATAACGGACAAGATATTTTTAGAACTCATGACCTAGAGAAAGACAAAAACATTATTCATTTGTACCACTGTCACCAGTTTTAAATCATGTCAATTGTTGTCCTCGACCCCTAGTTACGATGGTCTGGGTCTACCAACATGGCTTACTTCAATAGTCAGTGACTTGATAAACTGATTCCACATGAGGTTGAATCCAGGACCCACGTTGTAGGTGTCCGTTTCTCAAGAATTTCACGCAAGAACGAAATAGTCATTCAGTCTACCTCAGTTTTTAACGGTCTTCTAGCATTCTCGTTATATAACAAATATGATCGTTTACTTCATAAAGGTTAAAATATCACAATTGAATTCACCAGAAAATAGGTTTTGTCAAAACGTATCATAAAAATCAAATATTGTGAGACTGAATTCTTCAGAGATGTTCTCTCCTAGTATGTAATAATAACAATAATCTATGTAAAGAAACCCTTACGAAGCTTCTAGAATGCATGGCTTATATATTTTCATTTAGGCATTGAGTCGAAATCCAGTTTATCAAACTCACTCATCATAAATATTCTTTCAAATATCAATACTAAGCAAACAGGAAGCAAAAGAGTGGATATACTGTTTTTCATATATATATATATATATATATATATATATATATATATATATATATATATATATATATATATATATATATATATATATATATATCTTGAGTTTAATTAACAATCGATTTTCGCTTGAACATATAACACGATATTGTTTCACTTGATTGAAAGTCGTTAGATAGGACATTACCTTTCATTCTCTATGTTCGTCAAAGTACCTCTTGAAAATGGTGGTATTTCTTAAAGTCCACATGCGAAACTTACCACACTGCTATTGGTTTTTGGCAGTTTTGAACTGAAATTATTTTTTCAATATTCAAACTATGATCCCTTACTTTGACTACTGCTGAGGCATACTTCCTTTAACAAGTTTCTTAGGCTTTGAAATCCTAAGACGTTTTATATTTCTGAGATCATCCTAATTATTTACCTCATAAACCTTTCATGGTAAGTCCAATATGATTTTTTTAGACAAGAAATAATTTTTAACTCTGAAATAGCCTCGTCTACGGACGAAAACAAGATGTTCTCAGTATTTATCGTTTAAAGTTTATGGTTCTATAGATATATTATTTTATAATCAAAACATACTGTAAGTATATTTCCATATAAAAAGATTAAAAAAATTCTTCCTGGTCCTGAATCAGCAAACAATAAAACAGAACCTAAGAATTGACTGATGATTATTTCACCCTACTTTCTATATATTGGAACTTTCCTGGGATTAAACTGAGTGCATTTAAGACTATATTTAGTTAACAAACAAGATATGACCACAGAAAATATACTTTATAAAGGCGAAAATTGACAGGTCTTATCTTTATCAAAATAATGCCGATTCGTGTTATCACGCCTGCCTTATCTCCAGTTTCATTGTTTAAAACACCCTCGAGAGCAGCAAGAAGTTAGGGGTTCTAGCTGTCTTGTTCCTTCAAATCCTTTCCCTAAATTCGTTTCATCACTAATCATATTGACAGTTAACTGGTAGTCGATAAGCAAAAATGGTCTAATGTTCTTAATACTCCCATCAAAACGTTGGCGTAACGGTTGTTCTATGGTCGCATTATTCAAGAAGCCTGCACAGTCTTCAACTGGGCCCCTGATTAACTCGCAAAGAGTTATTTTTCAGCTAGATATATCTCTCGACATTACTCAACTTTTCATCGTTTTCCTTCAAGTCGTTTTATGTTCTGCCAAAATCTTACCAACCCAGTTCATGTATTTACTGGACAAGCCAAGTAACAACAGGTAACTTATCTCAAAACAAAATACGTCCATAAAAAGTCAAAAATTACCTCGAAACCTATCAAAATTTTCAGCAAGAGACTGTTGCAGTCGTGGTGTTGCTATATCTTCTGAATCCGGCACATCAACTGTTTCGTCATATGGTTTATCCATATATCTGCACATTTAAAAACGTGGGATAAATCTAAGCGGTACAGTTTTAATGCATATATATATATATATATATATATATATATATATATATATATATATAATGATCGTGGTTTAAAAACATCAAAAGAAAACGTTCCAAAGCACAGTTTTGTATATAATTATATTTCCCATAGGTGTTTACCAGGTGTACCGACAACAGATTTCACTCCACGTAGCATGCAATTCCATTGATTTTTAAATCAAAAAAATGTTAGGTACTACACACATTGTTAGTAATATCAACCACTGAGTTTCAAATAATATAGATTATATTCTTCAGTATCAATAAGTTATTATATTCTATAACAGGTGTCAAAAATGTAGTAATTTTAGCACACTTTGATTTTTGGGAGACTTGGTCCAGGCAAATTTTTCATCTTATCTTATTCTTTCACTTCCAATAAGCACAACTAGATGTATCCCTTGTTTTATTAAATAGATCGTGAAGGTTGATCTCAAAAATTAATCTAGGTCAGTAGATTGCTGGTCAGAAGAATCTATTTTAAAGAGCAAGATACACAAGATGACTCCAGAACTTTACAGATTAAAGCGAATTCTGACTGAAAGATAAAGAGTGTGAAAAATGTACCTTTTACTTTAATATCAAAATGTCTAGCCTTGTCACTAGACTGAAGACAAGTAACCAAGTCCTAGGACTTGATATTACAAAAAAGAGTTTTAGAGAAATCCAATTGCTGACAAGTTAACAACGAAAAATCATTTTTCGAAAAAGAGCTACCTAACATCAAGATGAGAGAACAAGGAAAACAAGTAGTTTATACAAGCTTGTCACAAAGATATCAGTATCCCAATCTCCCGATTTTGTTAGAATTTTGGGATTTTACCCAGATCCCAACGACAGTTGGCAGTTTTGGAAATTTTCATCGACCTAAGGAAGTTTCAGGGCTATTTTTCCATTACCATGAAACAGACAGTGTCCGCCAAAACAAGGATATTGAGATTCTTGAAATCTATTCTGGACATACTAGAAAAGGTACAGAGGGCAGCTACGCGTGCGATTCCGGAACTCCGGGGTTTATCATATGAAGAGCGGCTTGAAAAACTGAACCTCTTTACTCTGTCCTATCGCAGACTAAGGGGAGATCTAATATTGATGTACAGAATACTGAGAAATGATTTCGGACCTAACTTATTCTCTCTCTTTCTTCCCACTAGATCGGGACACCTCAGAGGACATAGTAGGCGAGTAGAAAAGCCAAGAACGAACAAAATACCTCTGGCATACAGGTTTTCACACAGAGTCATCAATACTTGGAACCTGCTGCCTGAAGCAGTGGTATCCGCACCTTCAATTGACTCTTTCAAGAGAAGACTGGACACTCACAGAAGCATACTAGAAAAGGAATAACATAGGCCGTAGGCCTTCTGTCCTTACTACACAAATCTGAAATCTGAATCTGAATCTGAATCTGAATCTGATGTGTTAGATAAGCTCTTTTCAGCCTTTCATTCTCGAACTCTGCTTAACTATTAGAAATAGTAGTATATTGTGTGAGAGATTTTGAATAACTTGGTCAAACAGATGTATAAATATTTGAATTAAGATTTTGACAATTGTAAGTCAATTATCTTATGTAAATCTACATAAAGCCACGTTACAATAAAAACCGGACAAATACATTCTTATGAGTTATTTCCACTTTGAGTGAGTAGAAACGATTAGTAGGTCGCCATATGGTATTTGTTAGGAGGTATTTGAACACGCCCACGACAGCGTAGTTATGACTTCAGTATTCAAACTTCAAACATTTTTAGGCAGGCTATACAACCACTTTATTTCTTGTAGTCTGCCTCTTTCTAGTATAAAGGAGCTTAAGGGCGCAAGGTTGTATAATCCAGGTTTTATTCTAACAAAAACTGAGGCGACGATACATTACGTAACAATGGGTTGAGTGGTAATTATGAAATGGTTCAAATTGTCTATATGGTTATGGACAGAATAGAAGAAGCTTTCGCTTAACGGGCTTCCGTGTCTAATTGCAGTGGATCAATAATGCCTCCAGGCAAGAACCTAGGTATATTAACGATGGTAGAGGAAAAAAGATATAGGTAAAACATAGTAAGATATTATCCTTGGTCCTTAAGAATAGGTCAAGGTTCCTCTTAAAGGACTCCTGGGAAATCGCTTGGACTAGCTTAGCCGGCAGCGAATTCCAGTATTTGATAACTCTTAAAGTTGAGGAGGAGAACATTACACCAAACAGCGTTGCCAGGATTGAAGTTGCTTCCCTCAGTATATCAGAATGAACCATTTCCGGACATGAATTGTCTTTCTTAAGTGCTGCAGTTTCACTTCGGAAAGTCCAGTGCAGTTGCAGATGAAGCTTCCATCAATATAGTTAGCTTGGGCCGGTCGAAATGTCCGAGAGTACTGTTCATCTAGAATATTAGCGGCGTTACCGTCGATGTCGTTCGGGCGATTAGGATCTTACAGTTGGGAAACTGAAGTTTTGGCTAATCGAAGAGAGACTGGATAACAGAATAAGCTTTTTGGATTGGGAACAAATTCATCGATAAGCATTATCTGGTACTGAGGCCTAACTACTCTTGTTGCCTTCGTACATATGTTCATTATTTCTTTGTATTGCCTGCATGCGCCGTTGTTAAATCGTTTATATTCTGCCCAACAGTAACTTTTGCGGCATAGCAATCCAAGAGTGCGATTCGGGATGACTGCAAGTTGTTTGTAGGTTTTAAGGACTGTTCGCTGAACAGAATGCTTTGTAGCACATAAAATCGTGTGTGGTAAGAAATTATAATGAGCATCCACATCAAAATGAGAGGGAACTTCCCAGTTCACCTGCTGTAAACTGTCCTGTGTAACTGATACATCCAACCGTCTGAAATCCCGGTGCCTGTTGTTAAGGGGATGTATTAGCTTAGTTTTTATGATAAATCTGAAAGCTATGATGGCGTGATCACTTCCCTCCATGGGAGCGAGGGTTGAGAGATGTCAGTTAGGAATTCTTCGTTTGTAAATACGCAGTCGAAGCGCAACGGCATCTGACTGTTTCTTTAACGAATTGTCCACTTCATATTTTCGAATAATTACAGATTTTCAACGAGGTTGAAGAATCGAGCTTCAGTAGCGTTATCATCATCAATATACGTATGTTTCGCGAGATTGACTTATGGAAGATTGAAGTCCCCGGGAATCAGGATTGGAGTGAATCCAAGACGAGCAGAGCAGGATAATCCTTTCAGTATACAATTGTTGTACTCGTTAACAACAGTGGTCGTCCTGTAGATGACAACAAGACACCTCTAAGTGGCACTTCACGGATTCATCAAGATTGATAATCTCTTGGTTATGCACTTGATGTACCTCCTGGCAATATCGTAAGTATAAGGCTACTACACTACCAGTTCTTGTTTATCTATCATTGTGAAACAAAGACATTCCGGGTATTGCTAGCCGCTGGTAGGTAAACTGAGAAGATATCTAAATTTCAGACGTTCCTGTCAGATGAGCATTATCAGCACTGCTGAGTTCACGTAGGTAATCCATTTTATTAAGTAAACTCGCGGCGTTGATGCATAAGTATTTTATGGTTTTATTTTGAAATGCGTGAGCTTCCTCGTGCTGTTTGTTTGTTTGTATGAGCCTTATGTGAATGGATAGGTAGCCTGTCCATACAAGGTTTGGCTAGTTGGCAGTCCCTGTCCTTCCCATTTTTTTATTATCTAGACAGTCCACAAGTGGAATGACCAGCCCCAACTGCCTTTGTACCTTATCATGGCGCCATGTTGCCTATCCGGATTTATATGGGTTCCAGCTGGCAACCGGCGTCTGTATGTACGAAATGCTTTCAGTGTTGCAGTTGCCGCATGGGAGGATGGGGAGATTGTCTTCATTAGCCGGGGTCTAGTATCTCCGTCCTTCTTGGCTAGTCTCGTCACATGTTAAGTCAGTATGTTTTCGAGCCTTGAGGATTGCTTGATGAATTTCCATTTGCTAATATCAGAGTGTGTTTGTCCAGGGCCTGTGTTTTCCAGCACACCTTACGCAACGATATTTCTTCCGCGGTAAAATTCCTCGTCAGATTCCTGAGAGATGTGCCGGATGAGATTGAGCTCAGAATACGGTTTACCAGGTAGTATTCTTACGTTCTCATCTGATTTCAGTAAGTGGCCAGCCAGTTGGATATTCTCTACGTCGGTAGCGCTAGTATGTCCTACACGAAATAGTCTAGGGTGACTTTGATGGTTAGAGTCCTTTCCCTGAGCGAGCCGTGTGACCGTCAGAGGCTCTATTCAGGGAAGTTTGAGCTTCTTGTTTAACTCTTCCCAGAACATCCTATAATGTTTGTCCTGCAAACTTAGGGGAAGTTATTTAGGGTTCATAGTTATGAGAGAATCATCGCAAACCATAATCGTTTTCCCAGGTCTTCCAGTACGTTCAGGTTGAGGACTTTGTTGTTTGGATGTCAGAGGGCGTTTCGATTCCTATTTTCTTTGATGACCGGTTGGACAATTTCGGGGTTAGGTTGTGCGGCCAAACTACCAGTTGACTTCACTACGGTGACGCCCGGGCCTTTTTAGCTTTGTTAACGGGATCCAGTCACCTACAGAGATTTTGGGAACTGCCGTTGCGTTCATTATTCTGTTCTGGGAGACCCAAGCCTGCTGAGAGTATCTAGTACCATCGACGTTAAGATGGTGCTGAGTTCCAGAATGTCCTCACTAAAATTATTAGTTGCTCCATCAATAATGGTTTTGTCGATATCCCTCTTTTTTTTCACTGCGCATCTTTGTTTTTATAACCGTTTTAGGACTGGTTTTTTTAAGTTTGCTGACAACTTATTCCGCGTACCTTTCAAGAGAACGATATTGTTCAGCAAAACCTCAGCATTCGTGGTGCACGTGACACATACCCATCTATGATCCGACCTACCGAGTCTGTTGTACGCTGTTACTATAATGTAATAACTCATCATTAGTAAGGGACGGAGATGTTATTGGGAATTCCTAAAATTAGAAACACAACACTCCGAACTGGGAACACCTATTAGTCACAAGAAGACAGGTTTTAAGATTTGCCTACGAACGACGTGGTGGAGGTAACTTTCAAAGTGTCTTTCATGTGGACACTTGGTACACTCTTAAGGAACCGGGTTTATTTCACTTCAATCTATTTGTATCTCTTTTCCGCTAGTTTCATATTTCGAAATATTTTAGTGAAGAAATTGGCTATCCATAACTACTAGAAACAGAAGTTCGTTAGACGGAAGTTTTTTCTAGTTGCTTTTTAGCAGGTTGCACTAAGAACGATCGCGTTTCTTCTACCCTCTCGAGCGACGAACCAACTGACTTCTAATCGGAGTAAGTTGTGAACCTAATATTCCACTTCACATTGGTATGAGATTAGTTGTTAAAGGACTTGCCACATCAACTAGATCTGCTAATATTTTCAGACAACGCGCGAAGTGTTTGTATCGAACCGTAGATGTCTATTCGGAAATGAGAGTCGGTATCTTGAGGAGGAAGCATATGTAGTCGAATTGAGATTACCAATTGTAGCGTGGCGTCGAGTTGAGATTAACTATGAACACCGCTACCAAGAAACACGTGCCAATAAATCAGAAGGCGTAAGAGGCTCGTTCCAAATGACTCCATAAAATCCCCGAGAAGCCAAATATCAGAAGGCAATTAATGGACCAAGTCGATGTTTATTTGCTGGCGATCTCGTGGCATCGAAAGGATACCGAGATCGTGCCAGGATACAAGCTTGGTTACAGAACGTAACCGAATTCGCGCGAAGTTACAATCAAAGTGTAAGTAAAGAATGGAAGAACAAAATAGCTGTCATTAGCACAGTCAAACAAAAGCACATTAAAACAAACACTGGTACAGTTGGTTATAATAATAATTGTTTTTATTAAACCAGTCGTGTTCTCGTGATAAATGTGAGTCACTACAGGAGCCCCCCGCTAGAAAGGGTTTACACTTTCGATAAATAGCGGTTTGAATCGTGGGACTGATCGGCTGACGAGCGATTGTAGGACGGAAAGATTGGCGAACAGGAAAGCGATCGTTGATCGTCGAGTTGCCAACGAAGGTCGTTTTCGGAGAACGGTACCAGGAGCGATGTGTTGTATTGATTGCTCGAGTTGGCATGCTACACGAGAGTGGTTTGTATCCAGAATCTGAAGAGGGCGTTCGTAGGGTGCGGACCAGGAACGCTGCAGACGAAGGACGAAACCACGTTGAGCCAAAAGACCAGAAGCGACCGTAACGACCAAGTTCGAGACCAAGCGTGTGCCAAGCGTTCGAAACCAATATATCGACTGAGTGCGTTGACAAGAGCATGGGTGGCCAATCCAGCTTTCGCCAAAGTTGACTGAAGTCGACGGAACCAAACGGAGATGGTCGAAGGCATGGGCTCAGGAAACAAAAAGAAAATCAAAAAAGAAGAGTGTAGCATACGTGTAGTATAGGAATAATCCTACACCGTATCGGTAGCTGACTGTGCGACTATTCGCGGAAGCGTACGGGTAACCGTACTCGGCGACCGGAACGTGAGACGGCAGTCTCGTTCGCGTCGCGTGAGCCTGCAATCTCATCCGAGGTCAGAGGCGGCGTGGTCTGCTGATCTGGACGTGAGACTATCGTCTCGTCCGTAGACGGTGCAGATGACGCGTGCTGTTGACCGGGACGTGAGAATGAGGTCTCAGATGCATCTAGCGTGGGACCTGAAGATTTAAGGATCCCGCTAGGTTTAATAGGTCTAACATTGAATCTCAGGTTACCAGATAGGGCACTGTCATCGACGTGTGCTGGTTTGAGACGATCAACGCTGACGATCTCGACGCGTCCATGTCGATCAACCTTGAAGGTCTTTTCGTGACGAGCGATCACGTGAAAAGGGCCTTCGTAAGGTTGTTGCCAAGGTTTGCGTACCGAATCTACTCGTACAAAAACATGTGAACAGGTAGATAACTCTCGAGGGAGAGCGACCTGTCGATGTTGTATTCGAGTTGACACCGGAGACAGCGTTCACATAAATGCAGACAGTCGACGGACGTTGTCTGATTTACCGAAATTAGGTCTGCTCCGTGGTGTGAAGGATTCTCCGGGCAGACGCAATGTCGTGCCGTATACAAGTTCAGTGGCGGAACATTGGATATCTGCCTTTAAGCTCGTTCTCCCCCTAAAAGAACGAGCGGTAAGGTTTCGTGCCAGTTGCCGTTTTCGTGTGCTCGTAGAACACTTTTAAGTTGGCAGTGAAACCGTTCAACTTAACCATTTGGTGCTGGGTGGTAGACGGATATGCTTATGCGTATGCATTCCGTACCAAGCAGCCGGGTCAGCGAAGAGAATCGTTAATAGGGTAACATTTCTCGAATAAAGCGTGGAATTCATCATCACGCGAATAAAAAGTGACAAGGATTCGGTACACATACGTGTGAGTCTATTATATTAATACTATTCTTATCGCTATCCGTCATGTCGCGTATATTATATATTAAAAAATATGAAAATATACGACAGACGTGGATAGATAAATCATAGACTCACCGAATTGGCTTCTTTGGAAGATTTGACCAGAAGCTGAGGCGTGTTCCAAAATACGGGTCACCAATTGTATTCGAATTGGGATTACCAATTGTAGCGTGGCGTCGAGTTGAGATTAACTATGAACACCGCTACCAAGAAACACGTGCCAGATAAATCAGAAGGCGTAAGAGGCTCGTTCCAAATGACTCCATAAAATCCCCGAGAAGCCAAATATCAGAAGGCAATTAATGGACCAAGTCGATGTTTATTTGCTGGCGATCTCGTGGCATCGAAAGGATACCGAGATCGTGCCAGGATACAAGCTTGGTTACAGAACGTAACCGAATTCGCGCGAAGTTACAATCAAAGTGTAAGTAAAGAATGGAAGAACAAAATAGCTGTCATTAGCACAGTCAAACAAAAGCACATTAAAACAAACACTGGTACAGTTGGTTATAATAATAATTGTTTTTATTAAACCAGTCGTGTTCTCGTGATAAATGTGAGTCACTACACATACATTTACTGTAGTTTATTTGGTCTAACTTTTTGGAGTAAGGACTTAATTTTATCGCAGTAAATTTTGATTGACTGGACTTATTCGTTTGTTTTCTGTTTGGCCGACAGTCAGAATGACTGACCTGAGACTCGGTCATAGGTTTGAGAGATTGTATGCCGTATTTCTTGATCGTTTGACAACTTATAGAATGACAAACATTAGTTGACTGACAAATTACAGCTGACTTTCCACACTTGATTCTTTCATAAAAAGGGAAGCTGTTCTATGTATATGTACCTACCTCAATATCATGCAAGTATGTTTCATGTAAACAGATTGTTAATTGAAGCTTAATCTAAGCAAGGTCGCTTATCCAACAATAGCCTCTTGGCGGGTTTTCGAGTTCTCTGTAGTGAGATGATATCCTTGTGTTGACAGCGTCCATTTAGTTACTAAACTAGATATGTCTGTACTGAGCGACACTTTGCATGCTGCAAATGGGAACGAAGAAACAGTATCGAAAGTAGATATGTGTCCTCGCAGACTTTCAAGAGTTTCGCGCTTGAGGGATATGTTCCAAACTGGTGTTGTAAAGCCAATCGACGATACTGAAGATGGATTTGATGTAGAAAGTTCAGTGTTTTCAGCATACACCTGTCCTGATTTTGAAAGGTTTTCAAGGTTGGTTCTATGGTTTTTCAGACTACTTGATGAATGTTCTTGTGAGATGAGTTGTTGGACATTTTGTCCTAAAAGCTTTTGATACGTTTCATTGTATCACTTGTCAGTATGAACGGTAGGCTAGCTACTATTTATTCGCTCGTGGGTCTTGGCTTGTTTGTGCGGGTCGTATGAAACTAAATAATTAGGTGGATCATGTGTAGGTTTGGATTCACTGAGTGAAACAGTAAAAAGTCGTATTAGTACGCAAATTTCCTTCTCCACTATTGTGAACACAATGCGCTCCTTTACGGACAGTCTGTTTGACTTTATTGTCTAATATTCATCTGATGTCAGCGCCCACTATTGTATTATACTTCAGTAGTGTGGTGTATACTGTGGATGTAGTGTTCTAACTTCTCTAAGAACTGCAATATTTTCCCAAACTTCCACTGTTATACAAGTTATAGAAGTAGTGTTAAACTCCCCAGTTAAAATTCACTCTCCATAATAAGTCCTAAAAGACTAAACGTGAAGATCAAAAGCTGTTGACCAACAGAGACGGGACACTATACCACTCTTTAACCTTATCTGTATTGGAATTCTTAGTCTCTCATTCAATTTAATTTAGTGTTGACGGTTAAAAAGTTTATACACGCTTCATAAATAATTTCAATGATGTAAATTCACTCTCCTGACTTCATTTTACCCGCTTGATGTATGAGGTATATGGTTTCTTTATTTAGTCTTCACTGAATATCCTATAAAGTAAGAAATTATCTGGCTTAATATTGATTTTCTTGCCATATTTGCTTACTCAGAGCCTTTCCGGGGTCCCCACCTATGAAAACTCTGCGCAATCATCGAATAAGTCTAAACAAGAATGAATCGACTCAACATAAGTAAGTTCTTCAACCTCTTTCCATCTCACGAGTTTAACGAATGAGTGTATTATTCATAATGTTTATGGGTTTTTGGTTTATCATAGGTTGTTAGATATGGTAGCTGAATAATGGCGTTGTTGGTTATGTATTGACCATTTCAATATTTTAGCTACATTGTTTGTGTATCAATGACAGCTTTAGTCCTATAGTATATCCATTAGTTGATCAGTGATTCTGTCCTCTGAAATCAATTTGTTCGAGATACGAAAATATCTTCCATGAGAAGGTGGCCAGTTTAATCACCTCAGTAGTTATCGATCAATTTTTTCGTCATAATTTATTTTTTCAGTCAACGAAAAGAAACAGTTAACAATTGGAAATTGTCTGGAATTTTGGCACAAGTTTCTTCTAGTAAACGAGTGCTTGATTCCTTAATATTTTAAGCATCTTAGTGCACATTTGAAATTTCATCAGAAAACGGTAACCATCTTAATTTAATATTTTCTTAGATTAATTATGATCTGCCCCCCCCCCAATTACCCTGGCACGGCCAAGAGTGGGGAGAGTTAGCTCTCCCTCTCGAAATGCTTTCATATGGCCACGCGTATACAGCCACTGCCAAGGAAATCCTACTAACTGCCTTCTCGTGGCGGGTGTTGTTTATGAAAGTGAAAGGATGGAAAGCGAATATCCCGCGCTTTGACCGGGTTTGTGGATATGGAGAATCCACCTGGGGGAGTTGGAAAAACCTGACTCCAAGCCACTGGTGCACGTGGGCTCCAGTATCCTGAAGGAACAAATGGCGTATGAACCTGTTGTTAGTGACCGGCTACGACGGGACTGCGTCTCCTGACGTTGCTCCACTGCCGTGTGAATCAGACCTTTAGGTTGAAGGCTCTGGGTGTGGCATCCTAAGAAAACCACTTGTTTCGGTTTGGGCGCCTTGGAAGTATCCCAACCCTTACACAAACCGAATGATAATGTATGGTGCATGTATATTTTGTGCCTCATTGTAACGATGTTTTTAAGTAAGTAAATAAATAAAATTATAGTCTGCTCACTGAAATTCACTTGCCATTATCCAGTTTTTCTTTCGAAGTCGAGTGCCGTAATATCCTTTGGATACTTCCTTTATTTACCAGTAGAACAGATTTTTCTGATCATATTTACAAATTATTGTCACAATATTCACAAGTCTCAAATAACTTTACCATAAATTACTGTTGAATTGTGTTGGTCTACCTTTCCTTTGACAGTGTTACGTCATCCAGATCAGTTGATGGAGGTTTCTCTATACCGGAATCACTTTCTCCCCTTAAATCTCCACCCACAAGACCTCCTAAGCCTCGTCATATATCTCTATCGAAACCTGCCGTTCTTGAAGAGGTAAGAATGCCATATCGTTTGTTTTTTAACAAACAATATGTTTTTACCTGCTTATTAACAATAAATATTGATAGCGTTCTAACCAAAATATCAAGTGATTTTAATCTTCGTAGATTAATTACAGATTTAAATGAAAAATACCTGGGCTGTTAGTGTAAATTTCATCTAACCTCAGTCCGTATGTCCAACCATAATTTAAAAGTAAAGGATATGTACAGCCTAAATCAGTTCTTTTTCATATTGTGCAGTTTGACTGGTGTGAAATTACCTTCTAGTTTCCTGTTAAGAACGTTGTCGCCATAAGCCAATATTTGAGAAGTTGCTTTTGTCAAAACACAATTACAAATGTTTTATTATTTTATTTTTATTTAAACACATAAACATTGGCACAAGGGGGCACCGAATATATATGCGCCACAAATTTCATTCTATTTGTGCGTGGGCTGTGATAGTGCCTACAGCCTAGTCCGGTCTAGATGACTTGGTTGAGATGCTGCGGTGGGTTGTGCTCGAATCGTGTCTTAATGACGATTACAAATGGGACTATTATGAATCTTCTTCAGTAATACTTTCCGCAAAAATATCTGTAGTTTACGGGTTTTTAATGTCTCATATAAGGGCTACAAAAACAAATGAATTCCAATGATCATTTTAGAGCACAGGATAAGCAAACAACTTCCACCATTGCGAAATATTTAATGGGGACGAGTTGTAGGGTTGATAAACATTAACATTTTTTATGTTGCATAGGTGTTCTGGGTTATATGTGACTGTTTGGGGCCCTTAATTATATGAAAATCCAAACCTTTATTTGATAAAAAGAAGTTTTCTCTCACCTTGAACACATAGTAAGATTGATTTATTGTCCATTGCGGTGTGTTTCACATTGTCCCTTATTGTCCTTGCTTCCCCTTACTTTTCAGTTTTTCTAGTTGACTTTTTATGTTCATATACGCTTTAAAAAGTGTGTGTGATCAGATGGTTCAAAATGTATTGCGCTAATATATTTCTAAAGAACATCTTTTCATCACCTTATTCAACTTTATACAAGGGACTAATTGTTTTTAGTTTCATACAACGCTAGCGAATTGCATTTGTCAAAATTATATTGTTTTATGGATATCATTTATAAGTATTACTACACCAATAAGGATTAACGCTTAAATTAGCCATTGCTTTCGTTACCTTTGTGACCCAAACTCTCATTCATTATGCCTTTTAAAGGTGAAACTAAAACCGATTTCTTCAAAAATCGCTACCGATAATGCATCTTGTAATAGCGTTACAGAACCGGTGGACATTTCCAAGTATGTTTTCAATTAAATTGTTTGAATATTTCACACCAACCATATTTGCGTTTAACATATATGTAAAATTTTTATTGTAGATCATAAAATCAATATGTATACCTAACCATTCCCTGTTTTATCGGTTCAAATGTTTTTATATTCGTGTGTGCCCCGAACGTTTTTAAATATGGAAATAATTGTTAAATGTGATTTAATGTTTGCCAAACTAATTTATCATCAATAAAGGTCGTTAGTACAACAGGATTTACTACCAACTTCTTTCTTTTGAAATTCCTATTTGTTCTGGATTGTTTTCATGCTAGATACATGTGATTACTTACTTACTTACTTACGCCTGTTACTCCCAATGAAGCATAGGCCGCCGACCAGCATTCTCCAACCCACTCTGTCCTGGGCCTTCTTTTCTAGTTCCATCCAATTGTTCATTTTTCTCATGTCTATTTCCATTTCTCGGCGTAATGTGTTTGGTCTTCCTCTTTTCCTTTGGCCTTGAGGATTGCATGTGAGGGCTTGTCTTGTGACGCAGTTCGGTGCTTTCCTCAATGTGTGTCCTATCCACTTCCAGCGCTTCTTCCTGATTTCTTCCTCCGCTGAGATCTGGTTTGTTCTCTCCCACAGTACGTTGTTGCTAATAGTGTCCGGCCAATGGATCTGAAGTATTTTGCGTAGACAATTGTTAATAAACACCTGTATTTTCTGGATGATGGCTCTCGTAGTTCTCCAGGTTGCTGCTCCATACAGTAGAGCTGTCTTGACATTTGTATTGAAAATGGTGACTTTGGTTTTGGTTGACAGTTGCTTTGAGTTCCAGATGTTCCTCAGTTGTAAATATGCTGCTCTTGGTTTACCGATCCGCGCCTTCACATCTGCATCAGATCCACCCTATTCATCAATGATGCTGCCCAGATATGTGAATGTTTTTACATCTTCCAAATCTCCTCCGTCAATTGTGATTCGATTGGTGTATGTTATATCGTATCGGAGAATCTTGCTTTTCCCTTTGTGTATATTGAGACCTACTGCTGCTGAGGCTGCTGCCACACTGTTTGTCTTCTCTTGCATTTGTTGTTGCGTTTGGGATAGAAGGGCCAGATCATCTGCGAAGTCCGGATCGTCCAACTGCATCCTAGATGTCCATTGTATCCCGTGTTTCCCTTCAGATGTTGACGTCTTCATGATCCAGTCGATCACCGGGAGAAAGAGAATGGGTGAGAGTAAGCAACCTTGCCTAACACCGGTCTTCACTTCGAACGACTTTGTCAACTGTCCTCCATGCACGACTTTGCAGTGTAATCCATCATATGTGTTCTGTATGATATTGACTATCTTCTGAGGCACGCCGTAGTGTCGAAGAAGTTTCCATAGTGTTGTTCTGTCCACGCTATCAAATGCCTTTTCGTAGTCAATGAAGTTGATGTAGAGTGATGAATCCCATTCAATTGATTGTTCCACAATGATCCGTAGAGTTGCGATTTGGTCTGTACATGATCTATCCTTACGTAATCCTGCCTGTTGGTCACGAAGTTGGGCGTCTACGCAGTCCTTCATCTTGTTTAACAATGCCCCGTTGAAGACTTTTCTCGGTATTGAGAGGAGAGTGATGCCGCTGTAGTTATCACATTTGCTGAGATCGCCTTTCTTCGGTATTTTGATCAGAAGTCCTTCTTTCCAGTCTGTTGGTACTTGTTCCTCATCCCAAAACTTATTGAAGAGAATGTGGAGTATCCTTGCGGTTACCGCTACGTCTGCTTTTAGTGCTTCTGCTGTAATGTTGTCTGGTCATGCTGCTTTGCCGCTCTTGATTTGTGTGATGACCATGCTGATTTCTTCAATTGTTGGTGGGCCATCATTGATTGGGAGGTCCTTGGGTGCTGCTTCGCTGTTGGGTGGGTTCATTGGGGCTGGTCGATTCAAGAGTTCTTTGAAGTGTTCTACCCACCTGTTTTGTTGCTCTTCAATGTTGGTGATTACCTTGCCTTCCTTGCTTTTCACTGGTCGTTCTGGTTTGCGGCGATTTCCAGAGAGTTTCTTTGTTATGTTATACAGTTGTCTCATGTTTCCTTCTCTTGCAGCCTTTTCCACCGTCGTTGCTAAATCTTCCACGTATTTACGTTTGTCGGTTCTGATGCTCCTCTTCACTTGTTTGTTTACTTCTGTGTATTCAGCTTGTGCCTTGGCTTTTTCTGCTCTTGTTCGACTGGTATTGATTTCTGCTTTCTTTTCCTCCTTTCTTGAATCTTATCCAGTGTATCAACAGAGATTCAATCGTTGTGATGGTGCTTCTTGTGACCCAGGACCTCATGACATGTTGAAGTGATTGCCTCTTTGATCCCCTTCCAGTTGCTCTCAACAGTAGTTCCTTCTCCATTGAGTAGATCATGAAAGGCCTGGAACTTGTTGCTGAGGACTATCTTGAATTTGTTGAGTTTGTTAGTATCCAGGAGAAAGGCCGTATTTAACTTTTGTGATACTGTCTGCCCCATTGTCCAGTGCTTATTGAGTTTCAATTTCATCTTGGCGACCAGCAAGTGATGATCTGATGCTATATCAGCTCCTCTCTTAGTTCTCACGTCGTCTATAGTCCTCCTGAACGTTTTGTTGATGCAAATATGGTCGATTTGGTTTTGCGTGGTGTGATCCGGTGAAGTCCATGTGATTTTGTGTATGCGTTTATGTGGGAATATGGTGCCGCCTATGTCCCGGTTTATTGAAGGCATATAGGTTTGCAAATCTCTCACCATTTTCGTTCCTTTCTCCCAGTCAGTCCGTGTTGTCCCATGATGTCTTCATATCCAGTGTTGTCTGTTCCAACCTTGGCATTGAAATCTCCCATCAGAATGGTCAGGTCCTTTGTTAGGCACTTCTCGACTATTGACTGCAGCCTATTGTAGAATTGATCTTTAGCTTCTTCATTGTACTCGTTGGTAGGCGCATAGCATTGGATGATGTTAATTGAAATGCCCTCTTTCTTTGTTCTGAAGGAGGCTTTGATGATCCTTGGCCCATGAGATTCCCATCCTATAAGTGCATTTTGCACTTGTTTAGACAGCATCAATGCAACTCCTTGTGTATGTGGAGCATTTTCTTCTTCATGGCCGGAGTATAACAGAAGCTCTTCTGAAGTTAGTCGTTGTTGTCCAACTTGCGTCCAATGTGTTTCACTGATCCCAAGTACCTCTATGTTGTATTTTCTCATTTCAGCAGCAATTTGGAAGGCTCTCCCGGTGTCCCACATTGTACGAACATTCCATGTACCTAAATAAATGTTCGCTCTGGTTGTCAGAAGGGGCATCGGGCTCGTGAATTCCGAAGGAATTCGGCTTTCATCATGAGGCGTCATAGTTCTTCTAAAAAAAGACCTGACTCCCAGGGCAGAGTTTAGAAGGTTTCAGTGAGCAGACTATAATTTTATTTATTTACTTACTTAAAAACATCGTTACAATGAGGCACAAAATATACATGCACCATACATTATCATTCGGTTTGTGTAAGGGTTGGGATACTTCCAAGGCGCCCAAACCGAAACAAGTGGTTTTCTTAGGATGCCACACCCAGAGCCTTCAACCTAAAGGTCTGATTCACACGGCAGTGGAGCAACGTCAGGAGACGCAGTCCCGTCGTAGCCGGTCACTAACAACAGGTTCATACGCCATTTGTTCCTTCAGGATACTGGAGCCCACGTGCACCAGTGGCTTGGAGTCAGGTTTTTCCAACTCCCCCAGGTGGATTCTCCATATCCACAAACCCGGTCAAAGCGCGGGATATTCGCTTTCCATCCTTTCACTTTCATAAACAACACCCGCCACGAGAAGGCAGTTAGTAGGATTTCCTTGGCAGTGGCTGTATACGCGTGGCCATATGAAAGCATTTCGAGAGGGAGAGCTAACTCTCCCCACTCTTGGCTGTACCAGGGCATTTGGGGGCATCAGGAAGTGTAACATGTTACGACTTATTTCTTAACATTGTTATATTATTTAAAGGGTCGATGAGTCTAAACTTTCGTAAGTAGTTACTTAAAACTCATTTGTTCCCACTTAACCAAATTATAACAACTTATACCACCTTATTAAACTCTTTTTTAAGATCATTAAATAACACAATGGTATGGTGTTATGAATGTGGCTTGTTATGTAAACTACACTCACTAAAGCGTTAGTAATATAAATAATAATATGGACCGGATACATCAGATAAAAAATAATATCGTGAAACAATACCCAAAGAAATTCTCATTGTCAATTTTTTCTAGCTTTTCTCCTACTGTCTTCTTTGAAGATAATGGATATAAATCGCTAAACAAAACAGCTGATTGCAGCATTGAAGTTGAATTCCTCTTCATATTTTTATTTGGTGCTATATTCACTCATTATGATGTTCCGTGATACTAATGTTCATATACATTAATACTTATATTTCTCTGAAAAGTGTATACTGTTATCTGCATTCTGAAGTATCGTGTACTTTAGCACCACTGTCTGAGACATTCTCTGTAGACAGAATTAATGAATATGTAGGTAGTCATCAATGACCACCACCTGCCTCGACAGCCGATGTTTGGTGGTTTAGAAGTATGTTTCAAGAAAGTTAGGGACTGCCAAACCAAAACACACCAGTCCATAAAATCATTAACCATGACTCTGAGCTATGTTTGTTATGACTTTGTCCGGCTTTTATCACATGATCTATCCACCAATCAAAACACGACTTATACAATCTTCGCACTGTGCCAAACCAATGATGTTCTACCGGTATGAGCAGCTCAGCGTCTTATTTGGTCCTATATCTGTCTAGCCGTCCACTTGAGTCCAGAACACTAATTACCAGCCTCCAATATGCGAATCATATATTCCAACCATACTGTGTTTATATATCAAACAAACAGACCACAACGCATCATAAAATAGAAAATAACATTTGTACACAATTAAGCCAAAAAGTGGCTATGAACGTGGGAGGCAGTAGTCAATAAACTGAACATAGCTTAAGAACCGTAAATCGTACACTGATAAATTATAGGTCAAAATAAAGTCTATAATACGAGGAATATAAATATACATAATCTAATTATTGAATAATTATACCATAAGAATATGTAGATAATATGTCTCAGGAGTTATTCGTGATTTAATCTTCGCTCGTATATATGTTGTTGGATGCAGAATACGTGGTCGGGATCCGCGTGATAACTGAGATCTGTAACTGAAGATTTTGGATGAAATGAAACAGATGCATTCATGTTTCATCTTTTTCTATATCTTCAATATCAATATTCCTTCAAACATACCTTTCAACCGTCTTTTGGTACCATTTTCCCTATATCCATTATTTCTCATTGTCATTACTACCAAATTATTTCAATCTCTTTTGTTATTTGTCTTGTTATTTTCATCTCGTGGCATCTCGAGTCAACCCACATTATTGTCAGGTTCTGTGATAACTGGATTGACTAAGGTTATCCTCGTAATTTCAGACGAGAATTTCTTATTCACTTCGATCACAGTTTGAAGTCTTCCCATTTTTACCATTTAATTACAAATGTTATATTTGTTGTTCAGACATTTTATCAGTTTGTATTTTGCTTATACTAGTTCAGTCATTCAACCCATTATTTTAGTGGTTAAATAAGTGATCGACCGATCACAATTCTCACTCGTTTGGTTTTTTGTTTAATGCATTCTTCCCTAATGTGTAGCACTCGGGTAATTATTCGTTAAACCTAATGTTCTTTACCTCCTTTTTTTTATTAAGCCATTCGATTACTAGCGTTGGTAATAGCATAGATAATCAACCATCGACAGTCAAAGTAAATGGAAGTTCGTTAAATTCAACTACCATTCGAAATTCAACTCCTGTAACTATTATCAAAGCAGGACCGCAACAAACATCCAAAGATCCCGTTGAATGTTTTTCTTATGCTTCCATAACTCCTTTATATTCGTCTAACAAGATTGAGAAGGCGACTGAAAACGATGTAAATAATGCTATAAATAATAATGGTACGTATTAGTATATACTCATTTTTTAAGTGATATTTTATCTTATGAACTGGTATTAGTTGAACAACCATCAAAACCAATAGGGATCAGACAGCTGCTTCGCGCAGACATAGGCCTCCTCAACAGTGCACACCTATAACCTCGCCATGCCTCTAATCTACAACCACTGGGGCTTCCATGATATGCGTTACTGTTAGATCATGAAGTTGACATCTGTAACAGACTCACATTCCCAACTTCAGTGAATTCACTACGTTACAAAGTATTTGCAATGGCGCAGGTGCATCCACTCTTTGTCTTCACCCAAATTCTAATCTCCTGAATCCTCCTTGTCTCTTTTTTTTCTCTTTCCAAATTTATCTCACTGGATTATACTCTTTAAATAAAATCTTCAAACCCTAATCTTTCCGATTACTGCTTATGCTCTTACCGCCTCTACCACTCCGGGATTTGAGTCGACAACTGTATCTCTGCGCTAATGTGGTGTGGCAACTCGAACTGATGTACCTACGTACGAAGTTCTACGTTGTTACTGACTGACTGATAAAGTATTTGCCAGTTTCTTTAAGCAGGTTATGTTGCTAGTTTAAATGAATCGTGTTACCAATCATTGTTAAAATCTTTATTAGCAATCAGTTGTAAATAAGTGTTAGTAGAGTTCACCAATGTACTTGGATTTATTCAAATCAGGTAATGAGTTTTTCTTACTGTCGTATTAAATTTCCCTAATAATACAGTCTTTCTTCAACTTCACTAGGAACATAACTATGAAAAATGGGCTAAATTAAAAATGAATAGTTTAAAAGTATTTTAAATTATCCACTAAATGATTGAATACAATCAATGTAACCAAATCAATCGGTGGAAGTAATAATAGTATTAGCTGTTACATCTAACTAAATCACTTCGAACCTTAATCTCCTCACTGTTTCTGCCCTTAGATATGCAGGGAGATGTACTTTGGAGCTAGTTAATGGGGTTAATACTGTAGGTTAGTTAGCATAATATTGAGGGCAGTGAAATTATCCTATTCATTGTCTTGGAAAAGAAAAGATATTTACGGTAGAGACCTCTGTATCCGATTATTATTTAACACTAAAGAGTACATGGATAAATATGAATGGTTGAATCACAACGCACAATAAATAAAATAATACATTAAATGTCACAATAGGGCATTTACGGTATAAAAATAGGATCTAAGGCTCGTGTTTAAATTACAATAAGTTTGTGATGAAAACAGATATGATAACTACTTCAATGAAATAGTGTTTAATGGCCTTTATGATTTTATGATGCATTAATAAGCTAATTACTATTCAATAAGTTAACTGATAGGAAATCATCCTTAAATATTTTTATTCTAATCATTTACTTGAATCAATCAAATTTTCTATGGTTGGTTTATTCTCAAAATTTTTTTAGCTCATCGCCAATCCTACGAAACAGCCATTCAACCCTCCGAAGATTTAAATTCACAATCAACTCATTCGTAAGTGACCCTTTAAACAGATGTTTCTTATTTATTTAACAAATTATTATTCTAATGTGAATCATTGCTGCTATGCTGTATTTTCAATTATCAAGAGATTATTGAATCTTCATTTTTTTGGATTTATGATTTCCCCTACTTGTGTAGTGTTCTGTTTCCCATTTATCTTTCAAATGTACTCCGATTTCATTATATCCACTCTAAACTAGACAAAAATCTAGTAAACATTTCCTTATACTTATGTGGATAAAAAAATCTTAAATCAATCTTCTAACTGTTCGTAATTTATCATTATCGTCATATGTAAATACTGTTTGTTTTGTTCAGTCTTCAGAATTCGGTTATCCATACTAGTACACTTACTTAAACTTGAAAACCTTGAAAGATTCACCTTTTCAATTTAGTGTATTTGAAAAGATATCTGTTTGTTTCTTGCTTCTGATATATAATTTTAATTATATCATGCTATTCAATGTTTATTTGTCTACCTTTTATCTTACTGTTAATTGCTACTCCTCATCTTTATAATTTTACAAACTGTTAATATGCTTTGGTAATATGCATTGATATTTATTGAATATTATTACAAATAAATGCGGAGTGGTGGTTTAGTCGTCAAGGCTTTTGACTTCCGGCCATTAATTTCCGGGTTCGAACCACGCTCCATCTACTTCGGTTTGGGAAGCTGGCTGGTAGCATTAGCTCTCATGCTCATATTCAATTGCCTGATGAACGAGTTAATTTACTTACCTATTATTCTATTAACCAGGAAGTTCATACTCCGTAACATAACTTAGTCTGAACAGTCATTGCTCTCATGCTCATTGATTCCATATCTTCATTTAATCTGTTCCGTATTACATGATATTTATCATTTGTTTCAAAACATTTGATATAATGATTCTTTGTTAATTCGTTACTGTTGTTTCAGCATATGCAATTCTTCTGTTGATCATCAATGTACAATATCAAATTCTTCGGATGTCCAGGTATGGCATTAAATAATTTAAATTTTTTGTTCTCACTTTAAACCCTATCTTTGCACATATTTGTGTATGGATGAAGTTTCTCTTGAATGTTCTGTTAATAGCATTCCAAACGCCATTTTAGAAATCAAGTGTGTTTTACTGAAGCAAACATAACGGCTGAATTCTAAAATTAGTCTATTCTTGTACTGTTAAAAATTCATTACGAAAATTCTCTTTTAATGATTCGTTGGGTCTGTCAAAAGTCACGATCAATAATAATAACGTTTTAATGATGAAGCAATAGGATTTGTATAATACAATTCTTCTATAAAACGTTTTGATACTATCTTGAGATTTTTTATAAAATTACAAAACAGCTAGTCTTTGGGATTTGAGAGTTAAGTGTATTTGTACCCTCTGTTCCTTCAGCAATATTTTCTAAGTGACAACATTTTATTATCTATCTTTATGTAGCTGTTTTAATATCATTTGACTGCAACACTAATCAAAGAGGAATTCATTCTAATCACCTGTGTCGTCGACCTAGTCACTTTACTGTTGGAGCTGCAATAAGTACCTCAACCGTGTATTCGTCTATTTCTACGTAAATCAATCGATCAATTAGAAACATCTCAGACAATCTAAATTAAATACGTTTTATTCCCCGTAACTCAAGATGATTTTTTATATGTGAATGTTTGAAATTTATTGTTTGCCCATACATACAGTCAACAAAATAGGTTATCATTATTATTATTATTTTAAATCCTTGTACTTTTCCATATTCTCACTCTGGTATACGTATTTAGTTAGATTAGTTGTAGATTACAACCGTCGTGTACATTATTAATTTATTCGCTTTATTAAACCAACAGTGAGTTCATTTATCAAGGGTTTTTGTTAATTCTCACTACTAACAAATAATTAAATACATCGCCCAGATTTCTCAGCTATGTGCTATGTGACTTCTTTATTGTATTAAGCTTCATTCCTAATTATGCTTTGATTTCTGTGTTCCTTTTGTTTTCACTTATTTCATTATCGATTTATTACTTGTGTTCTGTAGGATTTTGTTATTCGACCTGAAGCATTTCACAAGTCTCTATTTCCTGAAATTGTATATAAAGATAACATTGATGATCTTCCTGTACTACAACATGCTGAACCTGTTGCAGTAAATGCTGAAGATGATGATGATGGCTTAGATGAAAATATTGACAATACTGAAAACTCTTTTGAAATTGTTATTAGTTCATCTCAGTGTAATACATCATTTAATCCACTGATCACTTTACCTGTTCCGAAAGGATTGAATGTTGTGGCTGGTAAGTTGAAAGATTATGCAAAATATTATTGCTTAATTACAAAAAAATACTTCACTTTCCTTTTTAATCTTATGTCGATTGAAAAATAGGCACTCATATAAATTGATCCCATTTTATTACTACATTTAAATAATCACAGATACATAGTTCGTATTTTAAGTAATTATTCCAACTAATATTAATCAATTTTCATTTCACGTTAAATACTTTGAATTGAATTTATCATATCTCCCTACTGTGTATACCATCAATTTAACATCATATAAGTAGATAGTAACATGCATAATTAATTCTGTAAATTAATAAATGGACTATTCAGTTGATTCATTTTACATAATATTTCTTATTGTCATACAAACCTATACATATTATGAGTAGTGTTTGTACAGTGTGTTGTATTATTTAATTTTATTAAAATATTCATCATGTTTATTCTGTATATTTTTTCATTATTTATTTAATTGTTTTATTTATTCACATTGATAATGAAAATAATATTGTACACTATGATTATAAAGAATAACTGTCCCATGTTTATTTTTATTGTTTCCTTGTTTGTACTTAAATACTTTTCGACTATTCAATTTTTCTATTGTTAAAAATGAACCATATTTACTTTTGTTGTTGTTGAAATATGATCCTTAATAAAATGCTTCATTTTTATTTTATTGTCGTTTTCTTTTCACTCGAAATTCTATTGCTTTCTTTTTTTTTACTTAAGTCATTTGTCCTCTGAAACATTGAACATTCTTTTCTTTTAGTAGTGCATTTTATATTTATCAAGATGTTCCAATAAAGTCATTTATTATCCTTATTTTTGTGTGTGTGTGTGTATGTGTTGTCTAGTGATTTCCCAGATATAATGCTTATTTGATTATCGTCAAGATATAATTATTCATTGTTCATTTCGTTTTATGTCAACCTATGCTTGAAGTCAATCCTTTTTTTTCAATTACAAAAAAACAACTGAAATGTCATGCAATTGTAATGCATTATGCATAAGTTCACATAATAATATATTGTTATATGTTCAATATTAATGTAAGTCATAACAATATTATTGATGTAAGTTAGTGTTTTATCTTGAAAGCAAATAACTGTATTTACATAAGCTTTTTATGTTAACTCCCAACATTTTTGTTACAATAGTCAATTTTAAGCTATTTAATATATTCGCTGGTAAAAACTATGATAACAGTAATACATTGATTAAGTAATGTGAACTGTGGATTTCTCTTCATTTATAATCTTCTCTGTTATGGGAAACGAATATTCACTGACAAAACACTGGTTGTTCATTGTTTTTATTAAGCTATATACTAATGTTGATGTCTGATAAGTTTGGTCTATGCACGTTAGTACCATATTGTACGTTGTTTATAACTGACTCAGTCAGTCAGTCAGTCAGCTTCAACGTAGGACCAGGAACATACATGCATCGGTCCAAGTTGCCATACCTCATTAACACAACAAGATGGACACCGGATTCATAAAAGTAGTTAATTCAGAGGTGGAATATATATAAGAAAGATTGCAATAAGGATAAAGTACAAGAAGAAAGGATTAGTTCGTAGAAAGAAAGATATGAATCAATTTTAATCTATTAGTTTAAGGGAAGACAGAGAGTGTATACACCGACGCCATTGTGATCGATTCGGAGCCATGTCACCAAGCGTCTCCAACCATTGGTTACGATGCCTCTAACAGCACTCAAGTTATAACTGACTGGATGAATTTAAACGTTGTACACTACACGACGAGTAAGATTATCTCTTATGGACAAAATATATGTTTGAATATTCTGTGTATTTTTATTGATTTACTACTCTGTTTTAACTTCTCTGCATGTTGCAAATTTTCAATTCCCAAAAAACATTTCACTGGTTATTTTGGTAGTTTACCTTATAGATTTTATTTTCTTATTCGTTGCTACAAATCTCTGGGCAGAAATCATCTTTTTTTACCGCGATCAAAGATCCTTTTTCAATGGCATTACGCGTATACCCTCTCTCTTTCATCTATACCGAACAATTCTTTATCATAAAACCTGTCTTACGGGAGTAGCTGGGTCTAGGGAAGAATAAGGAATTGTGATGTCTACATATCAGAATCGAAACTGGGAGTAATTACATCCAGTTCACAATGCATTAACTTGTTTTAGCATGAAATTGTTCCTTTTTACATAATACAGTCATATTTTGTAATTGAACTTTCAACACTATAGAGATAAACTCTCAGTTTTGTAGCAGTAAAAACTACAAGTAAAGATTCCTGACAATTTTTTATTTATCCCGGGTTAAAATACTTCTTTCTGTTTATCGATGTTTCGTTTAATGTATTACAAATAGTTCTCTCTCTTTAATATATAGTTGAAATATTCAAACGTTTCTTTCATCAGATGTTTAAAAGATTTCCTCATTTCTTATGTTCTTTCTTCAAATGATCGGTTTTTGTATGATGCATTTTAAGTAACGAATAAACGATGCACTTATACGTTTATAATGCGACGAATAGTTCAACATTCCTGTTTGAAATTTGTATAATCAACAAATAAACAATGATTACTTAACATTACTATTTTTTGATTAATTACAAGCAAAACGTATCCATGGATTCTGTTTCCCATAAATATCATGATTCGTTACAACACAATATAAATTCCATTGAACTGGAAATATTGATTAGCCGATTATGATATTTGTTATCAGTCATTTTTCACTGTCAGATATCTAAGTATATGTAGTGTTTCTTTGTGTTTACTGCAATATAGTGTGTAGGGGGAAATTCGTTGATTCAACCAAAACCATCTCATTTCTTTTTTCTTGTATTACATACTACTTTTGTAGTTTGAGTTTTATCTAATTTATCATATTTTAATAGGTAATCTTTATCTTTAATTTTATAATACATTTTTTCGCTTTTAACAGTTGATGACGATGGAGTTCATATTTTTGAAGATGGTAACTTTCTGTACGCTCTTCCTGGCTTAACTGATAAGTATTCAGATGATTCAGATTTTTATGACTCACGTGAGGATGTTACCAATATTTCCGACTTAATATCTCCTTCATATACTGCTGAACAAGTAAACGATGAAGAAAATGTTAAAACAAATATGGACAAAATCCTTTCAGTATCTTCATCATCTAATTCACCAAAATCAATAACTACAAGGAAATTAGTTAATAAACGTTCAGGTAGCAGTGATAGTCTAGTCAAACAACCGAGAGTTCGATTTAGTTCTGAACCAATCTTGGTAAGATTTTTTCATGGGTTCTACAATATATATTTTCATTTTGTTAACATAGACTGCTCTCTGTATATTAAAAAGTGCCACTCCTCAAAAACGATTTAAATTCATTTGTTTTCGACTTCATTAGTCTCATCCGAACTGCTAAATATTAATTTTAAACCACGTCTACTTCTATAACTAGTATAATCATAAGCAGTGAAATGGGTAGATGCGCTTCGCGTTTCGTGTTTGTGTAGCTCTTCACTGTTGTGAAATATGAATATCGCGATTCAGAGATAATCTTGATTTCAAATGTAATTTAGCTATTCCATTTTTCTTCTCGAATGGTTTCAGGTAAGTTATAGCTTTCTTGTTAAAGCTAGTGGTACAAGAATTGTCGACTGTTTGACACTTAAAGAATTATAACTCAAAATAGTTTACATTATGGGAGACTCTGCCAGCCGTTACCTTCCTCTAGATCTTCAATCTTACATTATTTTGTGTTACATTCCCTCTTTTTGTAATTTGTTAAATATTATTTTTTGTTTCGTTCTCTACTACTACTACTGGGACCACTGAATTTCCTCTACAGATTTTTCCGTGATATCTCTCAAAATATGAGAACCCTGAACAATTACGAATCTCTATAAATCTTACTTCACTTTTGTCCGTTGTAAACCAACTCCGATAATTACAACAAATGATGAGCTAAAATAATTTTTTGTATTTTGAAAAATATAAAGTGGTGCCAACTTAACGGTATCTCGTTTGACAGTGGGATAAATCTAGACTAAATATACTGTAGTTGCTTCAGTCCAATTTTTATTCATAAAATAGAATGTGGTAGATTTATGGTAATATTTAGGATTTTTTGATTCAGAGTTTTGACTTCGTTGCCACTAATCAATAAATGATTATCACGAACTTTAAGGAAACTGATACTCCTTGCAGGTTTACAACCCGTTACCATTTGTCAAAGACGTTGCTACTAGTTTTTTCCGAACACAACAGACTTTATTTGAAGTTCACTGGTCCCTAGTGGTAATCGAATCCTATCGAACAAGTCGCAAAATGACTACCAATCCATATGTTCCTCGGCTACTCTTCTTCAATTACATAACATCTTGCATAGAACATACCACTTTACTTAGGTTAATGATAGTTCAAGTTGATCGTTGTAATGTGAACGTCGGTTTGGGCACCCGGGCAGTATCACAGCCCTTACACATGTCGAATGAGATTTGTGTGGTGCATATGTATTTGGTGCCTCCTTGTACCAATATCTATGTGTTAAAATAAATAAATAAATATAATAAATTATTGATCACTAGTGGTTGAGCAATTAATACATGAACTAGGTATCACTGTTCAGTAAATACTTCATGTTGTTGAACTATTAACTATCAGTTTTTATCTTAATATGTACAATATTTTTCAAAAAAGTTACTTGTACATGTGCATTCTAACTGAACAATCGGATATATCTAGTTCTATTTATCTATACTAACGTTGGACAGTTTTTTGTTTATCGAATATCTGATGAAAAGAACTATGTAGCCTATATTTGTAACATTTTATAGAATAGATTTTCACAAAATCGATTGAAATAGGTTGTTCAACGGAAACAATAATTTCAATGTAACCTATTTTTTTATATGTTATTCTGAAAACAAATTGATCAGGGTTTTGTACATATTATAATCAGTTTTAACAATCTAATGTTTATTATCTATCAACTTATAAAGTATGATTTAATGAAATTACTATGTTTGGTCTAAGTAGTAGATTATTTTCAGCTCTAGGTATTTCTTTGCTGAATTCTTTATTTGTCTCAGTTTACAAATTCTATTGTCATGGTCAAGAAAAATTTACACATTATATAGATTGAAAAAAATTTAATATTTTGTAACGTTTGTTAGATGATATAGTTAAACATTGACATTGTATCAATTAACTTTATGTTATGTATGCAAGTGTGCGCTTTCATCCACACACTTGCATTCACTAAGGAATTACAATCCATGGTTAGAGGATTAAATATCTAGTTATTATTGATTAGTGAAATGCATGAACATAAGATTTTCGACTACTGACTTCATTTTATCAAGAAAAAAGGTCAATTCTGTTTGTGTGATACAAAAAATCAACAGTGCCATTAAGAAATATCAGTCAATGCGTAACATTAATAAATTCAGGTTTTTAAAAATGAGTTCGTATTGTAATTTCTGGCTTTTATTGAACGAGGATAACATATTTATACAGTTAATTTACTGTGCATTTGTCAGCTATTTTACAGCTGGTATCAGTTTATCTTACAAAAAAATCATTTAATTATAGAAATCTTCAAAGAAAGCTCACGTGTATAATATTCATGTATTATAAATTTGAATAATCAGTTCAGTATTATATTTTCAATAGTTGAAATCATGAGTCATTTGAAGCTAGACCACCATGGAAAACCTGAAAGCACTGGTGGTTTAGCTTCAATCGACTCATGATTTCAACTATTGAGATTTCTAAAAATCTCCGCAAAACCCCTTCTGATATTATATCTTCCCTAATTTTGTATTTTACACTACTCGTTAATTGAATGATTTTATAATGTGTACCTTTCATGTTAACTGATTTTATTTGAATATATATAGATTTCTGTTGTTAAACACATCATAAATATCATTAATAATTGTTTCCACAGGTCTACGTAATTGATAACTATATTAACAACTGACCTTGCAGCAACCGACTAGATAATCACTGTATTCAGTAACTAGTGCATAATTAATATTTTTGTTTAGTGATTCATAGGAGAACAGTTTTTACTTGTCACATCATTTCATTTTTATTTGGTGTAAATCAGATTCAATGCAAATTTATTGATTGTTCCGCTTGTAAAAGTACGCTTACAGTTCGGCATATTGCACCATTAATGCTTAACTTTTTCACTTTTTACACCTTTTATACTTACCTGTTTGACGGAAAATTGATGCTTTTTTACTCAGTTTTTTTTGTTCGAGCACTATTACAAATTAAAATGTTTGTTATGCATTTGATGATTAGGAATAACTTTCCCGACCGTTGTTGCTACCTTGAAGTGGTCGTCGGGGTTTCCTATCGTGATGAAACAACTGAGCTATACTGACTGGAACAACTGTTCCTCAAGGTCCTACCATGTCAGACAGGTCGGTTGAAGAGCGGTAAGACTAAAAGCAACAAACCCAAGGTCCGAAGGCGAAGTCGTACTGCTGACTGTACAGAGGTGTGACAGCAGTAAGGTGTTTCCTTCAGACAACCAGCATAACAGCGATGCTGCCTTCCCACAAGGAGGGGTGGGGTTAGAAAAGGTCGACCCTAAAAATGCACACCTCACCTTACCTCACGGATGTCCGTCTCCGGCGGTAAGGCCCTTTGAAGAACGGAGCTAACACGTCGAAAACCTTCCACGAAAAGGCCGTGCGCGACCGGCCTCAAGCAGTTGTCCCTTGGGCACTGCGGTCACGCTCTCAGGTCACTGAGACCGCCTCTAATCCAATTTCCTTTTCAAGTACCTCCAGAAGAACCCTTCCACGGTGTGGGCAACCGGGAAGTGATAACCGCCCTCATACCTCTAACGGCACTCAAGACCACTGTATTCATAATCAACCTTCCTCTTCAATTCCTATTATTCCTCCTACATCGACTTTCAACTCTAAACTTCCTCTTTTGGCTTCCTCCTCAAGTGTCACCATAGCCAACGATTCTAGTGCTCAAAACTCTGTCCCAGGTCTACTGAAACCTCGCTCCAAACTACACATTGGAGCCTTCAACGTACGCACTCTATGTCAAATCGGTCAGCAGGCTTCCTTGGCTAAACCCCTAGAGTCTCTTTCCATTGATGTATGCTGTGTCTTCGAAACATGCATACAGGATTCCAGTGTGGTCATTCACTTGACCTCACCTCGGCAAAACGGAGAGCCAACGAGATACACCCTTCGTGTATCTGGTGACCCGATGGCCAGTTCTCGTGGACTGGCAGGTGTAGGCATAGCACTAAGCATGAGGGTCGAACAAGCACTGCTAGAGTGGATCCCCGTCAACAGTCGTTTATGTGCTGTTCGGCTAAACGGCTCCGTAAGAACTCGGAAGGATAGGGACACACGTCGTTGCCTTTTTGTCGTTTCTGACTATGCTCCCACCTACTGCAGCCCAGATGAAGGGAAAGATGAATTTTACAGAAAGCTATCTGAACTTCTTCAGAAAGCCAAACGTCCCAGACAGTGTGAATGGAACATTAAAGTAGGTCCCCCAACTCTTGCTGAAGTTCAAAAGGCTATAGTTAATCTGAAATGAGGAAGGGCAGCTGGTCCAGATGGATTGGCTCCAGAGGTCTTTAAGGATGGTGGTCCAATTTTAGCGATTAAGTTGACTAATATTTTAGCTAAGATCTGGGAGTTAGACGTTATTCTATCTGACTGGTCACAATCACTTATCGTCCCAATATATAAGAAAGGGTCAAAATCATCCTGTGACAACCACAGAGGGATTAGTTTAACAAACACAGTATCTAAAATACTAGCCTCGATAATTATCAGACGCCCAACTAAGACTCGTGAACTGCAAACACGAGGGAATCAAGCTGGCTTCAGACCTGGTCGTGGCTGCATCGACCACATATTCACCATTCGTCAGGTTCTAGAACACAGGCATACCTATCGGCGTCCGACGATGGTGGTCTTTCTTGACTTAAAGGCAGCGTTTGACTCTGTAGACCGCGAGACTCTGTGGCAGTGTCTGTCATTGAAAGGCGTTCCTCAGAAGTACATAAACCTTGTGAAGGCTCTTTACTCGAACACTACTAGTCGAGTCAGGGCTTATGGCGAACTGTCATCTACTTTTGCAACTTCAAGTGGTGTCCGTCAAGGCTGTCCACTTTCTCCATTTTTGTTTAACTTCATCATAGACCTATTGATGGAAATAACACTCTCGTCGACTGAATTCTCGGGTATTGATCTCCATCCAGGAGGTCCACTTATCGACTTAGAATACGC